AAGGTAAGTTCCAAATTTTGCCAGTTTTTAAAAGAAGCAGCCACCTTGGTCCACAAATATGAGAAATGTTGATTATTTTTATTTTTCATAATATAAATACAAGTGTGGGAATGGGAAAATGTTTGTTCTTCCAAGCATTATTAGAATTAAATAAACTAAAACCGATGATGATGACGGTAATGACAAAATGTGTGCAAATGTATGTATTTTAAAAAGCAAGGTTTATTTATAAGACTTAGCGGGACTTGTTTTCCAGAATTTGGCCGGAAGGAAAATCACATAAACATTTCAGAATCTCGCAAAGAAAATTGTAGCAAAATAACCTACAAACCAAAACAAAGCAACATCATCAACAACAAAATTATTAAAATACTTTTTAAAGAAGAACACTACTATATCCTAAACATTAAAAACCCAATAACTATAAACTATGAATCTATGTAATCTACTCTAAGGGCTTTACATTCTCTGTCTGGTGGTTATATTCTCTTAAGTTTTCTACAAGCATATAGTGAAAAGGATAACAATTCCTCCGTTTCTGCCTTTATTTTTCTATAGAATTCTTGTACCTTGGCATAGTCCCACCACATAGGGATAAATGTTCCAGTTTGTAATATGGGCTATTTGCTTGGCAGGTCCTATGTCATTTCGTCAGTAGAATCATAGAATCATAGAGTTGGAAGAGACCTCATGGGCCATCCAGTCCAACCCCCTGCCAAGAAGCAGGAATATTGCATTCAAATCACCCCTGACAGATGGCCATCCAGCCTCTGTTTAAAAGTATTTTCCATTGTATTTCTTTGATCTGTAAACATTTAAATTCTTTGCATTTATCCATAGTTCTAAGTCATTCTGATTACAGTTTATTTTTACTTCTAACAGGGTGGGTTTCATATTATACCAGTGATCTGTTTGTTTGTCCCATTATTCCTTTCTCAGTTTTCCATTGTAATATTTCACCTAAGTCTATCGTGGGACCTTCCTTCTTCCGCTGTGTGAATTTATGGTGATCCTATGAAGGAGAGGCCTCCAGCCCTGTATCCTCCAGCCCTGTTCAGATCTTGCAATGCCAGGGCAGCAGCCAAAGCTCCCTTGATTGAGTCCGTCCAATGGGAATACAACACCAGTATGGCGACAATTCGGTGGCGCAGTGGGTTAAAGCACTGAGCTGCTGAGCTTGTTGATCGAAAGGTCGCAAGTTCAATTCCGGGGAGCGGCGTGAGCTTCCGCTGTCAGCCCTAGCTTCTGCCAACCTAGCAGTTCGAAAACATGCAAATGTGAGTAGATCAATAGGTACCGCTCCGGTGGGAAGGTAACGGCGCTCCATGCAGTCATGCTGGCCACATGACCTTGGAGGTGTCTACGGACGACGCCGGCTCTTCGGCTTAGAAGTGGAGATGAGCACCACACCCCAGAGTCAGACATGATTAGACTTAATGTCAGGGGACAACCTTTGCCTTTACCTATGGCGACAATTGACTCTGGAGTTTAAATCCCTGCGCAGCTTCTGAAACTCAGACGTGACTTTGGCCCAATCACACTCTCTCAGCTTTAGAAGCAGTCCATAGCAAACCTATCTGCTTAATTCATTAAGAAATCTATGAATAACTCTTTAACAGCTCTACTGTTTAGTGGTTGACAGCAAGCTATTACACTGTTCTACAAATTTTCAGTTTTTCTCAGTTACGGAAACGAAACGTGCCGTTTCTTAATAAATTTAACATGCTGAATTCAAATATAATTAAATGTGTTAATTGGCTCTGGTTTTTATGCAACAGCTATTTCAATTTTCTCCACAATAGGTAATTCGTTGATATTATGATAATGCGCCTAACCTTACTGCATGTATATAAACCGTGAATATTTACTAAATTTTAGTCAAATTATATTACCAATAGTTTATACATGAGAAATATTTATTTAATTAGTCTATTGTTTATGTTTGTGCAGCAAGAAACTATATTAGTAGGCCTAATGCAGTTGAAAAGTCTGAAAGTTTAAATGTCGCTTTAATCGTGACTTTAGTTAATATCCTGTTTGCTTCTCTTGAGTTTTCTTTTGTATTCAAGGAAAGGATTGTCTCTTACAATGCTCCAGCAGTAGTCTGACAGCATTGACGGAGTCCATTTGATATCTTTGATATCTTTTTTCCATAGTGCTTTATTTACACACGTGCAAGGCATAACTACAGTAAAAAGAACAATGTAAAACGATGTTTAACGATACTGTCTGTCTTCAACTGACTGACCCTCACAGTTCAAAAGTCTGGCCTTATATAGGGCTTTCTGGCTTTTGCACACGGCACTAATACTGCGTCATCAAACTTTCTAGAGTATTCTAGAATCTTCCATAGTGTAAGTCGCAACATGCATTTTTTCAACCATACGTGATCACGTGATTGCTTATATCATAAAAACTAGAGCCAATATACATTTTTAAATGTCATTTTCGTTTTCAGCACCCCAAAATCATAAAAGAATAGCTATTTTCAGGCCCGCAACTTTCTAGAATCTTCCATAGTGTAAGTCGCAACATGCATTTTTTCAACCATACGTGATCACGTGATTGCTTATATCATAAAAACTAGAGCCAATATACATTTTTAAATGTTTTTCAGCACCCCAAAATCATAAAATAACAACTATTTTCAGGCCTGCAACTTTTTCTCCGTTGAACAGTGTATCAACTACCTCATCCAGGGCAGAAGAAGCATGGCTCTCAGGTGTCTTTTTATTGCCTGGATCTTATTGCTCTCTTTCCCAGAGCCCAAATGGCCAAAACTAGTATCTTATCTGACATTAGCAAAGCCAACATCTTGATAAAATGTGGGCCTGTTGTCAAAAATACCTTTAAAAGCATTAAAAAGTTTCTTTTATTTCGCTCACATTGAGACAAAGTATTAGGCACTTCACAGAGAAAGAAGGTAGACACACAGACCATATAACTACATAAGGTACACAAACAAAGGGGTATTACATTTTGCTAGACATCCACACACATATAAACATTCATTCATCATCATGCATACATTACCATCTCTTCTTCCTTCTGGAAAAGATACCCTGAAGTAGGCTAGCAAATCTGCCATTCTGCAGTACACCATTTTCCTCTGTCCCTTGGAGAAGATGGCGGTTGGGCTAGGCTCCGGTGTCTGCCACAATTTTGAAATTGTAAAGTGTCTCTTATATAGCAATATTTTGCTGATGTTCCAAACTGTTATAAACGAATGACAAGTTTTCCATCTAAAACAGTGGTTCTCAACCTTTCTAATGCCGTGACCCCTAAATAAAGTTCCTCATGTTGTGGTGACCCCCAAACATATTTTCGTTGCTACTTCATAAATAATTTTGCTACTCTTATGAATTCTAATGTAATGTATTTTCATTGTTACAAATTGAACCTAATTAAAGCATAGTGATTAATCACAAAAATAATACGTTTGGGGGAGTATGGACAATGGACGATAGGATTTGTAGTACCTTCAACCAATTGATCTCTGACTTCCACAGACCACTGAGACCTCCACGAATTATAGACCTGGACCAAACTTGGCACACAGAACTCCCATGAACAACAGAAAATACTGGAGGAGGTTGGGAGGAACTGACAGTGATTTATGGGAGATGTAGTTCACCTACATCCAGAAAGCACTGTGAACCCAAATGACTATGGATCTGGACCAAACTTGGCATGAATACTCAATATGCCCAAATTTGAACAATGGTGGAGTTTGGGGGAAATGGATCTTGACATTTGGGAGTTGCACTTGCTGGGATTTATAGTTCCTCTGCCATCAAAGAGCATTCTGAACGACAAAATGGAATTGAACAAGCTTGGCATTCAGAACTCCCATAAACAGCAGAAATTACTGGAAAGTTTTGGGGTTATTTTCCTGACATTTTGGAGTTGTTGGGAGGTATAGTTCCCTCTCATCCAAAAGCATTCTGAACTCATGCAACCATGGAATAGACTCAAACTTGGCACAGAGAACTCCAGAAAATGCTGGAGAGGCTTGGGGAAAATAGACCTTGGCATTTGGGAGCTGCTGGGATATATAGTTCCCTCCCATCCAAAAGCATTCCCAACTCATGCAACCATGGAATGGACTCAAACTTGGTATACAGAATTCCCTCCTCCCGTCCCTCACCCCCTTCTGAGCTCAGAAGGAGGCAAAGGCCGGTTTTTCTTCCTTGTTAAAGAGCCTTGTTTGCTTCCTTAACCTAAAAGAGTCATTGTCTGTGGTAATGTAAACATTTTATTTTCCAACAAGAGTTAATTGTCTCTAGTCATCAATGTCAGCAAAGTAGCAACTTTTAATGAGAGTTCGTCAGTTCTTGAATTCTCCTTTTGTAGTTTTCCAGGCCTCATTTCTTAGGATGGCATCTATAGCCTCTATAGGTTCCAATCATACAACTTTCATACAATTTCCTTCAATCCACATATCATTTTATCACCCTGTCTCACTCAAAATTGCTCCTTTCCCTGTATGACTTCTCATATTTTTGACTAATAAAGAGGCCCATGGGGCTTTGAAATCTTGCAGGCTGTATTTTGGTATCTTTTTAGTAGGCCAAATAAAGCTCCTTTGTGGATTTGGGGTGTTACTGTAGTTCACGACCATAGTCAGCCCTCCACATTTGTGTAGTTTAGGATCTCAAGACCGCCCACAAAAGTGGAAAACTGTGCAAATCCTCAAGACATCCCCAAATCTTCTTAATCCTGTTAACTATATTTAGCACACACAAAGTACAGTAGTTTTATTTTACCAATTTATAATTTATCAAACCTTCAAATATGTTTTCTTTACAGTTTCCTCTTTTGAAGCCTACATCTATTTTGCATAAAACTTCAAAGCTCCAAAACAATTCCTATTTATTATGGATTACAAATGAATGAATAATTATATCTATGAAAACTGAAATCACAGAATGTGAAGAGCCAACTGTATTTAAATGCTGGATCACAATGAGCAAAAATGACAACCAAAGGCATATCCAAAAGAGGGTGAATTGAAGATTTACTTGAACTAAAAGATAAGTTGATGAAAAGCAACAGATGATGATTAAAACAGTGTATATATGTTGCACTAAACAAAAGAATAATAATCATCATCGAAAGATAACAATCAACACCAGAGCTATGCAACAAAATGAACTAGGCAATAAAACCCCATATTGGTCTAAAATTAGGTCTATCAGCCACTCCTGTCTCATCATTTTAACCTTTGTAAATTTGCCACCTTTTCAGAAACTATTTCTATTTTTTTAAAAGTACAAAGCAAAAATATCACAAAACGGAGAAAATTTTATCATGCATAATGCTACAAGTATACCTCTAACTAGCTACCAAGGTTACAACATCTGTTATAGAACTCCAGTATGCTGATGACAATGTCGTCTGTGCGCATTCAGAAGAAGATCTACAAGCCACTCTATAAACACCTTCGCAGAAGCATACGAGAAGCTCGGCCTGTCATTGAACATCGAGAAAACCAAAGTGCTGTTGCAGCAGTCACCAGCCAACCCCTCTCCAATGCCAGAGATACAGCTAAATGGTGTAACATTAGAAAATGTTGACTATTTCCGCTACCTTGGCAGCCACCTCTCCACCAAAGTCAACATTGACACTGAAATACAACACCGCCTGAGCTCTGCGAGTGCAGCATTTTTCCGAATTAAGCAGAGAGTGTTTGAGAACTGGGACATCCATAGGGATACCAAGGTGCTTGTTTATAAAGCTATTGTCCTCCCAACCCTGCTCTATGCCTGCGAGACGTGGACTGTCTACAGACGTCACACGCAACTCCTGGAACGATTCCATCAGCACTGCCTCTGGAAAATCCTGCAAATCTCTTGGGAAGACAAATGAACAAACGTCAGCATGCTGGAAGAAGCAAAGACCACCAGCATTGAAGCGATGGTCCTCCGCCATAAACTACGCTGGACTGGCCATGTTGTCCGGATGCCCGACCACCGTCTCCCAAAGCAGCTGCTCTATTCCGAACTCAAGAACGGAAAACGGAATGTTGGTGGGCAGGAAAAGAGATTTAAAGATGGGCTCAAAGCCAACCTTAAGAACTCTGGCATAGACACTGAGAACTGGGAAGCCCTGGCCCTTGAGTGCTCCAGCTGGAGGTCAGCTGTGACCAGCAGTGCTGCAGAATTGGAAGAGGCACGAATGGAGGGTGAAAGAGAGAAACGTGCCAGGAGGAAGGCGCATCAAGCCGACCCTGACCGAGGCTGCCTTCCACCTGGAAACCAATGCTCTCACTGCGGGAGAAGATGCAGGTCAAGAATAGGGCTCCACAGTCACCTACGGATCCACAAAAATACTGATCCTGGAAGACTATCCTACTCGTCCAACGAGGGATCGCCTAAGTAAGTAACTAGCTACTACAACAAAGTACAAAACTACATTAGAAGCAAACACACCAACAAATCACACATACATAAGACACACATACACACAAACTAACAAACAAACAAGGGTCTAATCCTACAAACCTTATACTCTCTATCTGTTGGTTTTTATACCTTATTATTGTAATCCATTTAGACAACCCCATGTAAGCACATTTCTGTCTTTGGTACCACTATTCTAATTTGTGAATCTTACACTTAACATATTTCCCTATTGTTGTCATGTAAAAAGTAGTTTCAAAGTTCCAATGGTTTCTCCCCAATATGAGTACTTTGATGTCTATGAAGACTTCCACTTTGAGTAAAGCTCTGTCCACACTCCAGGCATGTATAGGGTTTCTCCCCAGTGTGAGTCCTTTGATGTATATGTAGACTTCCACTCTCAGTGAAACTCTGTCCACACTGCAGGCATGTATAGGGTTTCTCCCCAGTATGAGTCCTTTGATGTGAATGTAGATGTACACTTCGAATGAAGCTCTGTCCACACTCCAGGCATTTATAGGGTTTCTCCCCAGTGTGAATCCTTTGATGTCTACGTAGACTTCCATTCTGACTAAAGCTCTGTCCACACTCCAGGCATGTATGGGGTTTCTCCCCAGTGTGAGCCCTTTGATGTGAACGCAGATATCCCATCCGAGTAAAGCTCTTCCCACACTCCAAGCATGTATAGGGTTTCTCCCCAGTGTGAGTCCTTTGATGTGAACGCAGACCTGAACTAAGAGCGAAGCTCATTCCACACTCCAGGCATTTATAGGGCTTCTCCCCAGTGTGAATCCTTTGATGTGAACGTAGATTTGCACTCTCAGTGAAGCTTTGTCCACACTCCAGACATGTATACGGTTTCTCACCAGTGTGAGTCCTTTGATGTGAATGTAGATGTACACTCCGAACGAAGCTCTGTCCACACTCCAGGCATTTATAGGGTTTCTCCCCAGTGTGAGTCCTTTGATGTGAACGTAGATCTCCACTCTCAGTGAAGTTCTGTCCACACTCCAGGCATGTATAGGGTTTTTCCCCAGTATGAGTCCTTTGATGTGAACGTAGACTTGAACTACGAGTGAAGCTCATTCCACACTCCAAGCATTTATAAGGTTTCTCCCCAGTGTGAATCCTTTGATGTCTATGTAGAGTTGCACTCTCAGTGAAGCTTTGTCCACACTCCAGGCATTTATAGGGCTTCTCCCCAGTGTGAGTCCTTTGATGTGAACGTAGATTTACACTCCGAGCAAAACTCTGTCCACACTCCAAGCATTTGAAGGGCTTTTCCCCAGTGTGAATCCTTTCATGTGAACGTAGACTTGAACTATGAGTGAAGCTCTGTCCACACTCCGCGCATTTAAAGGGTTTCTCTCCAGTATGAGTCCTTTGATGTGAATGTAGATTTCCACTCTGAGTAAAGCTCTGTCCACACTCCGTGCATTTATAGGGTTTCTCCCCAGTGTGAGTCCTTTGATGCGAACGTAGATTTGCACTCTGAGCAAAGCTCTGTCCACACTCCGTGCATTTATAGGGTTTCTCTCCAGTGTGAGTCCTTTGATGTGAACGTAGATTTCCACTCTGAGTGAAGCTCTGCCCACATATAAGACATGCATAGGGTTTCTCCTGCATGTTGAGTTATGTATATAATTAATTGCAATATGGACGCTTAAGTCTTCCCTTTTTCTTTCCAATCAAAAGTGACTTCCACAAGATCAGCACCTAGAAAGGATTTCTTCTTCCTATAGGGTTTCTTTTATTATTGCACTTTGGTTTACAAATACCGAAATATCCACTATATACTGATATTTTCTTATGTCAAAGGTGACTTCATAGGGTCTTCATTTTCCTGGTCAAGAAAAAAGAAGCAAGAGATTAAACATGAACCCACAACCCCTCATTTCCAAGATTATCCTCTTTCCACTAAATATTAATACCATGTTTCTGTGTCCCATTTATTTTGGTCCTTTCAGCCTAAAACGACTGAGGCTTTAATTGCACCCGATATGTAATTTATTAATCCCTCCCATTATGTAGATCTCCCTTCACCTACAATATTCTGGCAGAAAAATTGTGTCTTGTTCCAATCTATTTTTATCCCTAATTGTTCCTCCATTTCCTTCTTAATTATTTTATGGAACTTTTGTATTTTTTCACAATCCCACCACATGTGGGAAAAACAAATGAACAAATGTCAGATTCAATGACTGCAAAATTTTGGAGGGAATACGGAGTTGGAAAGAGGGGAGACAAGAATGAAAAATTATTTTAAGTTTTGACCTTAAAAGTAACCCTCACAAAATGATGTATCGATGGTCCTTGACTCCAAGTCAGTTGTTGAAGATGTATAAAGAGAATAACAATCTATGCTAGAATTGTGGAACACATCGAGGGTCTTTCGACTGTATGAGGTGGACATGCGACAAGGAAAGAGGACTGGAGACTTAAAAACACATGTGGAAAAAGTTATCACCATAATGAAAGAGACAGCATTTGCCTCATATCTTCATAGCCTTTCTCTATTTGAATATATTGATTTTTACTGTTCCAAAAGTATCAAATAAAATGGAAAGAACATAGATTGGTTTATTTCTTTGTGTAGATCATTTCTGTTCATTTAAATTTGGAATATTTTTAATCATTGGGGAAAATGATAGATAAGTGTTAGATAAGCTTAGGCAAATATTGAGATTATCTCTATACACTGCTATATCTGAGTGTAGAGATTCAGGAGTGGGCATTCAGGTATTGGGATTAATGGAGTGCATGTCTATAATGTCCAGTTACAGCTGCTTTTTCCCTGACAGGACATTCCAGTGCAATTGCTTCGGTCGGCATAATATTACATACAATAAGCATGGTATCAAGGGAAATACAGAGGTGCCCGTTGCCTCCGTAGGCCTCAAATGCCAACAGTTGGATTAGTACAGTGTTTCTCAACCTTCCTAATGCCGTGGCCCCTTAATTAGTTCCTCATTTTGTGGTGACCCCCAACCATAACATTATTTTTGTTGCTACTTCATAACTGTAATTTTGCTACTGTTCTGAATCGTCATGTAAATATCTGATATGTAGGATGTATTTTCATTCACTGGACCAAATTTGGAACAAATATCCAATACGCCCAAATTTGAATAATGGTGGGGGAAGGGATGGATTTTGTCATTTGGGAGTTGTAGTTGCTGGAATTGATAGTTAACCTACAATCAAAGAGCATTCTGAAGCCCACCAACAATAGAATTGGGCCAAACTTCCACGCAGAATTCCCATGCCTTGAAGGGACTTGCTGGCATGAGCCTCCCTCCAACTACACATGCTCTCTGTCAGCCACACATGCGCACCATGCTGCAATGCACTAAGCAGGCCTGCTCTCCCCTCCCCACTTGGAGTCTCGGAAACAGCCCTCCCCTTGGCTGAGAGGCTGGCCAACCACAGTGGAGGAGGGCTTTTGGTAGGAGGATTCGCCATCTGTTTACAAAAAGAAAGAGAAGGACAGGTGGAGAGACCTTAAGCTTTCTCTGCCAACAGAGTTCCTAAAGAAATATATGTTTTCTGATGGTCTTTGGCAACCTCTCTGAAACCCCCTTGCCCCAACCCCCAGGTTGAGAAACACTGATTTACACAATGCATTCACTGCTAGAAGGGACAGAGTTTAATCTTTGCTGACAATCATGCCATCATCGCTCAAGCAGGGAGCTTTGAAAGGGTTGAACAGAAGCTCTCCGAAACATTAGGTGCTCTTACTGCCTATTTATTACGGCAGTCATGCTGGCCACATGACCTTGGAGGTGTCTACAGACAATGCTGGCTCTTCAGCTTAGAAATGGAAATGAGCACCACACCCGAGTCGGATACGACTGGACTTAATGTCAGGGGAAGACCTTTACCTTTATCTACTGCCTATTACAGGGAAAATCAACAGATTCCTAATTCATCTAAAATGCAGACGTGTGCTTCTTAAGAACAGACAAGCAACTCGAGCTGTGAGAATTACCTGGGAAGGAATCCCACTCAAACATTGCTGCATACCAAAATACCTGGGAAGTTACTCTGGACCGTGCTCTGACTTACTATCAAGCAAAAAGTGGGTGATAGAAATAATATGATACAAAAGCTTACTGGCACAACCTGGGGATCACAACCAGACACAGTGAAGACATCTGCCCTTGCGCTTTGCTACTCTGCTGCTGAATACACATGCCCAGTGTGGAATACATCTCACCACATTAAAACAGTGGATGTGGCTCTTTATGAAATCTGCTGCATTATCACAGGATGTCTATGCCCTACGCCGCTGGAGAACTTATACTGTTTTGCCAGTATTGCACCACCTGACATCCGCTGGGAAGAATGATGTGATGATGTTCATTCGTTCAGTCGTCTCCGACTCTTCGTGACCTCATGGACCAGCCCACGCCAGAGCTCCCTGTCGGCCGTCACCACCCCCAGCTCCTTCAAGGTCAGTTCAGTCACTTCAAGGATGCCATCCATCCATCTTGCCCTTGGTTGGCCCCTCTTCCTTTTGCCTTCCACTTTCCCCAGCATAATTGTCTTCTCTAGGCTTTGCTGTCTCCTCATGATGTGGCCAAAGTACTTCAACTTTGTCTAGTATCCAAGCCACCAGTAATGAAAGTACCAAGGCACTGATATCTATGGCCTATCCTCTGTTTGGATATCAGCCAGCATGCCAATGCCTTAAATCAAGAAAAAAATTCCTAAGATCTACAGAAATACTCACAGGAACACCTCAGCAAGCGAGAGTCCCAAAGTGGCACCCAAATCCCAGAACCTCAACCCATGGCTGATACCAGATGAGAAACTCCCTCCTGTGACACAGAAAACTGGGTGACTTGGAAGGCGCTGCCCTCTAGCACCATGAGATGAAGAGCCAAACTTAAGAAATGGGGCTATTTTCTGTTGGTCATGGGAGTCCGTGACAACCAAGTGCAGAGAATAGCAAACCACAGACCACTTACTACAATGCAACCTGAGCCCTGCCACATGCACCATGGAGGACCTTCTAACAGTGACATCAGAGGCACTCCAAGTGGCCAGTTTCTGGTCAAAGGAAAGTTAGTACAATGCCAAGTTTTTAACTTTGTCTGTGGTTTTTCTATGCATTACAACTGTATTCTCAATTTGCTTCTGATAAATAAATATGATATGTCCAAGAGGAGACTATAACTTACTGTAGTTTTGTTTTGTTTTATAAAGGGAATTACAACATTAATACGAAAAATGTCTCTTAATCGTATTTTCTGTTAAACATGTTGTTTTCATTCAATACAATTAAAACTAAAAAAAAAACCAATAGTACTGGATATTGATCCACAAGTGATACAAAAAGCCTGCAGGAGACAAGGTCTCCCAGAGAGTGGGAGATGGCCACTATTGAGCAGGGCTTGCTGCTTTGGAAAACAAGCATTTCAAGTTACTGCATCCTAGGATGAAAGCAGCAAGATTTACTTTGGGCAGAAAAATGCAGAATCAAAGAATTACTCTAACAAAGAAAGGTAGATCATAAAACTCCTTGAAATTGCTAAAGGTTTCATGGCCAGAATCACTGGGTTTCTGTGAGTTTTCCAGGCTGCATGGCCATACTCCAGCAACATTCTCTCCTGACGTTTCACCTCCATCTATGGCAGGCATCTTCAGAGGTTTGTTCAGAGGTCTCTCTGAACAAACCTCAGAAGATGCCATTAGCCACAGAGTGCCCTCAGGGAGATAGGACGGAATACAAATAAGTATTATTATGTATGATGATGATGATTCCTACTGGAACATGGCCATAAAGCCTGAAAAACTTACCACTACCCGACCATGACCTTGTTATCAAGTCAATCCGCAATATTCTGATAGAATGGGAGCTATCTGTATCATAGATGAAGAAAAAAAGGAAATGTAAAAATGCTTGTGGGCTTTGTAGCTAAAGTAACATATTAAAACAATTAGGATTAAAAAATTTAAAACAATTAGAATTAGGAGTTTATGGGAAGTGAGCAGGAAGAATCACAGAGCTGGAAGAGAGCCCATGGGCCATCCAGTCCAGCCCCTTTCTGCCAGGCTGGAAAAGCACAATCAAAGTGCTCCTGACAAATGGCCAGCCAAAATATATACAATGCAAATAGAGGCCGATAGATGTACAATACAGGACTTGAAAACTATGTGGGAAACGGAGTTACAAATCTCGGAACAAGAAATGAGAAATGTTGTAGAGACAACAGGGATGGAAAGGAATACCAAAGTACGAGAAACGAGGAGGAAAATATTGCCACAAATGGTATCGTACACCCTGCCAATTAGCATACTACTATAAAAAGGGGAGTAGTCAGTGCTGGCATGGATGCCACCAGAAAGGGCACTTTATGCACATGATGTGGGAATGTGAATACGTACAAGATTTTTGGCAGACTATACAAAATGTGTCAAATCAAATACTAGGAAATGAGTGGGTCATAACAAAGGAATTAGCGATATTAGGAAAAAGAGAGGAAATGGGAAAAAAAAGGGAAATAAAAGAAGCAATAATTGAAGTTGCACAAGCAGTAATAGTATTAGGGTGGAAAGATAAATCAAAATGGACAATAAATAAAAGTACCAATATATGGTGGAGCAAATGGAATTTGAAATTATGAATGTGAAATTAAATGATTTAAAAATCAATGAAAATCAAATGAGAGAAATGGAAGATAGATGGACAAGGGTAAAGAACTATATTATGAATCATTCCGGAGATCAAGCCATAAGAAATAAGATACAAATGTTATATAGCATACAGGATGGAGATGTAAAAAGATAAAGAAATAATGACTGTCTCAAAAAGAAATGAATATGTGAAAGAAAATAATCCTCATGTTGGTGGTGGGAATTGTAAATGATTTGTGTGTGCACGGTATGTATTTTTTGTATTGTAAAAATAAAGTTGTTTAAAAAAAAGACAAATGGCCACCCAGCCTCAATAATAATAGTAGTAATAATAATGAAGGAAGAGACCCCCCCCCCCATGGGCAACCTAGTCCGACCCCTTTCTGCCATGCAGGAAAAGCACAAAGTACCCCTGGTGGATGGCCAATAATAATAACAATAATAATAGAGAAGGACAAGACCCCCATGGGCCATCTAGTCCGATCCCCTTCTGCGAGGCAGGAAAAACGGCCCCCTGGTGGCGCAGGAGGTGGAACTGCTGAACTTGCTGACTGAAAGGTTGGCAGTTTGAATCCGGGGAGCAGGGTGAGCTCCTGGTATTAGCCCCAATTTCTACCAACCTGTAAGTTTGAAAACATGTAAATGTGAGCAGATCAATAGGTACCACTTCTGCTGGAATGTAATGGCGCTCCATGCAATCATGCCGGTCACATACCCTTGAAGGTGTCTACGGACAACGCTGACTCTTTGGCTTAGAAATGGAGATGCGCACCACCCTACAGAGTCAGACACAACTAGACTTAATGTCAGGTGGAAACCTTTACCCCCGACAGATGGCCACCCAGCCCCAATAATAATAATAATAATAATAATAATAGAGAAGGAAGACACCCCATGAGCCATCCAGTCCAATCCCTTGCCAGGTAAGAAAAGCACAATAAAAAAAGAACAAGCCCTATGAGGAGTGGCTTAAAGAACTGGGCATGTTACACCTGAAGAAGAGAAGGCTGAGAGCAGATACGATAGCCATGTATATATACGTGAGAGGAAGTCATAGGGAGGAGGGAGCAAGCTTGTTTTATGCTTCCTTGGAGACTAGGACGCGGAATAATGGCTTCAAACTACAAGAGAGGAGATTCCATCTGAACATGAGGAAGAACTTCCTGACTGTGAGAGCCGTTCAGCAGTGGAACTCTCTCTCTGCCCCGGAGTGTAGTGGAGGCTCCCTCTTTGGAAGCTTTTAAACAGAGGCTGCATGGCCATCTCAAGACCTGGCTCTGCCGTTGCGCTTTCGGAGAGTAGCCACATCATTTTATGCTAGAGCTCCCTCAACGTTCTCTGTCCCAGGAGTCCCAGTCCCCCCCCCCCCATGTACGAAAGTTTGCCTATTTTCCTACCTCTCTCTGAGTTCTCCCTTACAATTAGTTCTGCCCCTTATCTCACCTGGAGTTTTTAAATCATTTTGTGTACATGCGGCCCGCCCTCTGTTATTTTGTTATTATGTTTAGTTCCTATGTTCTGTGTATATTGTTTTATATTTTAATGTTATGTTGTTTATTTTATTGTAATTTGTATTCTTATATTGTAATTCTTTTTTGGGCTAGGCCCCATGTAAGCCGCTCCGAGATACAACACTGAAATACAACACCACCTGAGCTCTGCGAGCGCAGCATTTTCCCGAATGAAGCAGAGAGTGTTTGAGGACCGGGACATCTGTAGGGATACCAAGGTGCTTGTCTATAAAGCTATTGTCCTCCCAACCCTGCTATATGCCTGCGAAACGTGGACTGTCTACAGACGTCACATGCAACTCCTGGAACGATTCCATCAGCGCTGCCTCCGGAAAATCCTGCAAATCTCTTGGGAAGACAAGCGGACAAAGGTCAGCGTGCTGGAAGAAGCAAAGACCACCAGCATTGAAGCGATGGTCCTCTGCCATCAACTCTGCTGGACCGGCCACGTTGTCCGGATGCCTGACCACCGTCTCCCAAAGCAGTTGCTCTACTCTGAACTTAAGAACGGAAAACAGAATGGGACAGGAAAAGAGATTTAAAGATGGGCTCAAAGCCAACCTTAAAATCTCTGGCATAGACTCTGAGAACTGGGAAGCCCTGGCCCTTGCGCGCTCCAGCTGGAGGTCAGCTGTGACCAGCAGTGCTGCAGAATTCGAGGAGGCACGAGTGGAGGGTGAAAGAGAGAAACGTGCCAGGAGGAAGGCGTGTCAAGCCAACCCCGACCGGGACCGCCTTCCACCTGGAAACCAATGCCCTCACTGTGGGAGAAGATGCGGGTCAAGAATAGGGCTCCACAGCCACCTACGAACCCACAAGGAAACGCATAATGGAAGACCATCTTACTCGTCCAACGAGGGATCACCTAAGTAAGTAAGTAAGCCGCTCCGAGTCCCCATTGAGAAGATGGTGGCGGGATATAAATAAAGTTTATTATTATTATTATTATTATTATTATTATTATCTATCGGGGTGCTTTGAATGTAATTTTACTGTATTGTCGAAGGCTTTCATGGCTGGAATCACTAGGTTCTTGTGGGTTTTTTCGGGCTATAGGGCCATGTTCTAGAGGCATTTCTCCTGACGTTTCGCCTGCATCTATGGCAAGCATCCTCAGAGGTCGTGAGGTCTGTTGGAATTAGGACAATGGGTTTATATATCTGTGGAATGGCTGGGGTGGGGCAAGGAGCTCTTCCCTGCTGCAGTTAGGTGTGAATGTTTCAGCTGATCACCTTCATTAGCATTTGAAGGCCTGCCTGAGCCTGGGAAAATCTCTTGCCTGGTTGTTTCCTCTCTGTTGTTTTGATGTTGTAATTTTAGAGTTTTTTAAATACTGGTAGCCAGATTTTGTTCATTTGAAAATGAAAATGAGCAGGGAAGAGCTCTTTGCCCCACCCCAGCCATTCCACAGATATATAAACCCATTGTCCTAATTCCAACAGACCTCACTACCTCTGAGGATGCTTGCAATAGATGCAGGCGAAACGTCAGGAGAAATGCCTCTAGAACATGGCTCTATAGCCCGAAAAAACCCACAAGAACCTTGTAATTTTACTGCTTCTTGGCAGAATGGGGTTGCACTAGATGGCCCATGAGATCCCTTCCAATTCTATGACCCCCAACAGATGGCCACTCAGGCTCCAAGTAAGGAGCTTCCACCAGACTCCCAGGCAGAGAGTTCCACTGCTGAACAGCTCTCTTTACAGCCAGGAAGTTCTTAATGTTCAATTCAATCTCCTTTCCTATCATTTGAACCCATGGCTCCACTGAGTCCCAGTCTAAAATCAAAGCCTGCTCCCTCTTCCTTAAGATACCCTTTCAGATATTGATACATGGCTCCTCTCCTGTCTCCTTTCAACCTTCTCTTCTGCAGGCTAAACACGTCTGTATGGTCTTACTGGCCCCTTCACTGGCCTCAAGGCAACCCCACAGAGAAGGAAGAGAGGGAGGGAAGAAGGAAGGAAGGAAGGAAGGAAGAAGGGGGAGAATAGGGATTCCTTTCCTCCTGGGTATGCCTGTCTAGCCTTTTATATCAGTCTCTCTCTATATATACATATAAATACAGAAACACATTAATATAGAAGATATGTGAGTGTGTCTACTTCTAATACTGTTATGAGTATGAATGAGGATGTTGCCTTCTCTCACCTCCTCCTTCTCCTCACAAAGCCTTCCTTCTTCCTTCCAAAATGGAGGCGGCGCGGCCTGAGGTGACGTCATGACGTCACTCCCTCTGAAGAGGGGGCGGGGCCAGAAGGCCTTTGTTCTCTCTCAGCAGTGTCCGCCTTCTTTGCAACCCGTCAATCAAAGCCGGAGGGCTGTAAGCAGCCAATAGGAGGCCGTCAGAATGCGGGGCTTCCCGGACTCAGCCAATGGGAATGAGAAGGAGGCGACGCTTGTTGGATGGACTCTTTCCTTCTCTCTCTCTCTCTCTCTCTGCCACCAGAGGCCGCCTTCCTTGCAAACCATCAATCAAAGTCAGAGACTTAAGACCTTATCGAACTCCCAGGATCCCATCACATCGAGTCATGCCTTCAGATTGAATGAATACAGTTTGACCCCACTTGGACTGCAATTAGGGAGTTGTAGTTTTGGGTAGTCACAGCTTTCTTCGGCAGTGACTTAGGTTCAAGTTCTCATTGAGCTGCAAAACTCACTAAAACGAATGCAGTTTGGTACCGCTTCAACTGCCATGTCTCCAAGCAATGGCATCCTGGGAGTTATAGTTTCCCAAGGCCTTCCTCCTCCTCTGTGAGTGCCTCACCAAACTATAACACCCCAGGGTCCCTTTGAATTCATCTATAGGATGAATGCAGTTTAACCCTGCTTGGACTACCATGGCTATGGGATCTTGGGAGTTGTAGTTTGGGGTGGCCTCAGCTTTCTTTGGCAGCGGCTTAAGACCTTATAAAACTCCCAGGATCCCATCACATCGAGTCATGCCTTTGGATTTATCCATACTAGAATGAATGCAGTTTGACCCCGCTTGGATTGCAATTAGCCATGGGGTCTTGGGAGTTGTAGTTTGGGGTGGCCTCAGCTTTCTTTGGCAGCGGCTTAAGACCTTATGAAACTCCCAAGATCCCATCACATAGAGTCATGCCTTCAGATTGAATGAATGCAGTTTCACCCCACTTGGACTGCAATTAGGGAGTTGTAGTTTTGGGTAGCAATTAGAGAGTTGTAGTTTGGGGTAGTCACAGCTTTCTTCGGCAGTGACTTAGGTTCAAGTCCCCATTGAGCTGCAAAACTCACTAGAACGAATGCAGTTTGGCACCGCTTCAACTTCCATGACTCCAAGCAACGGCATCCTGGGAGTTATAGTTTCCCAAGACCTTCCAAAGTCAGAGAACGGCAGGCAGCGAATGGCAGACCTCAGGAGGGCGGAGCTTCCAGGACTCGACCAATGGGAGCGCGAAGAATGCGGTGCTTGGGTGGACCTCAGCTGACCCTTTCCATCCTTCTTCTCGCTCTCTGCCACCAGAGGCCGCCTTCCTTGCAACCCGTCAATCAAAACCGGAGGGCGATACGCAACCAATGGAAGAGCTGTAGTGGGAGGGGCTTCCCGGACACGGCCAATGGAAGAGCGAATGAGGAGGGGTTTCTTCTCCCTCCTTTTCTCTGTCTCTCTCTCTCTCGCCTTAGTTGCAACTCGTCAATTAAAGCCGGAGAGCGGTAGGCAGCCAATGGGAGGCGTCGGGTGGGCGGGGCTTCCCGGACTCGGCCAATGGGAGAGCGAAGAAGTGTCTCTTGAGTCTCCCTCCGCCATTTTTTTCTGAGGCGGGAAGGTGACGCTTGGAGCAGGGGTGTGTGTGAGGGGTTATCCCTGTCTGTGTATCCACTTTCCTCCCTGAAGGGAGAGGGGTTGTGAGGGCCCTGCCTGGTTCTTTTTGCCATTGTGTCTGACTCGCCTCCCACCTCTCCCTGCCTGGCTGGCTGAGGAACTGTGTCTGCGGCCTGGCGCCTCGCCCATCCCTTTGGAAGGCAAGAAAGGCAGGTTTCCCTCCATCCTTCCCTCTTCCCTTCCTCCCTGTTTATTTACTCTATTTATTTCCTCTGTTTATACCCCACCTTTCTCTTCCCCGAAGGGGACTCAAGGAAGGCTTTGTTGTTGTTCATTCGTTCAGTCGTCTCCGACTCTTCGTGACCTCATGGACCAGCCCACGCCAGAGCTCCCTGTCGGCCGTCACCACCTCCAGCTCCTTCAAGGTCAGTCCAGTCACTTCAAGGATGCCATCCATCCATCTTATTTATTTATTTACTTACTTACTTTGCTTCTATACCGCTGTTCTCAGCCCGAAGGCCACTCACAGCGGTTTACACACAATAAAAACAGCAATAATTCAATGCATATATAACAATTGACCACTTAACACATTATCCAATTAATAAACAACAAGCAATTACACTAAACAATTATTACAATAACCAGCCCAATCGTCTCATCATCAAAGCGTAGCCTAGGTTCGTCGTCCATTGTTCCATTCCTATGTTCAATTACCAATATTGCACTAGATTACTCGAACGCCTGCACAAACATCCAGGTCTTCAGCTTTTTTCGGAATGCCATGAGAGATGGTGCCTGCCTAATGTCCGCAGGAAGGGCGTTCCACAGCCGAGGGGCCACCACCGAGAAGGCCCTATCTCTCGTCCCTGCCAGCCGTGCTTGAGAAGCCGGCGGGATTGAGAGCACAGCCTCCCCGGAAGATCTCAAAGTCCTGGTGGGTTCATAGGCCGAGATGCGGTCAGATAGGTATCTTGGGCCGGAACCGTTTAGGGCTTTATAGGCCAGCGCCAGCACCTTGAATTGAGCCCGGTAGCAGATCGGCAGCCAATGGAGCTGGCGCAACAGGGGGGTTGTATGCTCCCTGCGCTCCGCTCCTGTTAGAATCATGGCTGCCGCACGTTGGACTAACTGAAGCTTCCGGGCCGTCTTCAAGGGCAACCCCACGTAGAGAGCGTTGCAGTAGTCTAGGCGGGATGTAACCAGAGCATGGACTACCATGGCCAAGTCAGACTTCCCAAGGTACGGGCGCAGCTGGCGCACAAGCTTTAGCTGTGCAAATGCTCCCCTGGTCACCGCCGATGAATCCAGGATCACACCCAAGCCTTTTACCTTTCCCCAGCATAATTGTCTTCTCTAGGCTTTGCTGTCTCCTCATGATGTGGCCAAAGTACTTCAACTTTGTCTCTAGTATTATTATTATTATTATTATTAACTTTATTTGTACCCCGCTAGCATCTCCCGAAGGACTCGATGCGGCTTACAAAGGCCAAGGCTTCAATACACAACATAACAATACAAAACCTAAAGCAAATTAAAAACAAATTAAAGCAATATTAAACAATAAACAATACACCAAAACACAATAAAAACTGGGCCGGACCAGAGTAATGGGTACAGAATTAAAAAGTGCTGATGTGACAGGTGGTATATAAGGATTATAGGGTAAGTGCAGTGTGCGGTGCAGTATCCTTCCCTCCAATGAGCAGTCGGGCTTTATTTCCTGGAGGATGGACTGGTTGGATCTTCTCGCAGTCCAAGGCACTCTCAGAACTTTCCTCCAACACCACAGCTCAAAAGCATCGATCTTCCTTCGCTCAGCCTTCCCTAAGGTCCAGCTCTCACATCCGTAGGTTACTACAGGGAATACCATGGCTTTAACTATGCGGATCTTCGTTGCCAGTGTGATGTCTCTACTCTTTACTATTTTATCGAGACTGGACATTGCTCTCCTCCCAAGAAGTAAGCGTCTTCTGATTTCCTGGCCACAATCTACATCTGCAGTAATATTTGCACCTAGAAATACAAAATCTGTCACGGCCTCCACAATTTCTCCCTCTATTTTCCAGTTGTCAATCATTCTTGTTGCCATAATCTTGGTTTTTTTTATGTTTAGCTGCAACCCAGCTTTTGCGCTTTCTTCTTTCACCTTGATTAGAAGGCTCCTTAGCTCCTCCTCGCTTTCGGCCATCAGAGTGGTGTCATCTGCATATCTGAGGTTGTTAATGTTTCTTCCAGTAATTTTCACCCCAGCTTTGCATTCCTCAAGCCCCGCACATCGTATGATGTGTTCTGCATACAAGTTAAAAAGGTTGGGTGAGAGGATGCAGCCTTGCCGTACGCCTTTCCCAATCTTGAACCAGTCTGTTGTTCCGTGGTCAGTTCTTACTGTTGCTACTTGGTCCTTGTACAGATTCCTCAGGAGAGAGGCAAGGTGGCTTGGGATGCCCATCCCACCAAGAACTTGCCACAATTTATTATGATCCACACAGTCAAAGGCATACATAGAGGCTTACATAGGGGCAATTATTCAATGCTTTAGAATACATACAATTCCCCAAAAAATTAGATTAGATTAAAATTAAAAACATATTAAAACATTTTAAAACTTTCCATTCCATATTGAAATCACGCCAACCATAATAATAATAATCCTCCTGGACTCATCACTTACGCTTGAAGCTCAGGCTTTGGCAGTGGTCAGGAGGGCCTTGGCACAATCAATAATAATAATAATAATAATAATAATAATAATAATAATAATAATACACTTTATTTCTAACCCGCTACCATCTCCCCAAAGGGGACTCGGTGCGGCTAACATGAGGCCAAGCCCAAAATAATACAACATAATAAACGCACAGTAACAAAATACATCATAACAAAATATGAAATAACAAAATCAACAATATAAAACAGCATATTAAAACCAGACACGGAGGGTGGGCCAAATGTGTGAGGTAAAATGTTAAAAAAGTTAAAACCCTGGGTGAGATAGGGATAAAAGTGCATTTGTAGGAAAGGGAGGAACCATGGGATTTAGCCATTTTAGGGGTGGGAAAATGCTTTATTCTGAGGGCAGCTGTAGACTAAGACAACCCGATGGGTTGAATGGTCATTCTCCAAAAGCACAACAGAAGAGCCAGGTTTTTAGGTCTTTCTTAAAACCAGCTAGGGTGGGGGCTTGCCTGATCTCCTTAGGCAGCGAATTCCAAAAGCGGGGGGCCACAGCGGAAAAGGCCCTCTCCCTTGTTCCCATAAGACGAGCCTGTGATAGAGGAAAGGGCGAGAGAAGGGCCTCTTCAGCGGATCGAAGAGATTGTGCAGATTTGTGGTAGGAGGATGCACTCACAAAGTTAGGTGGGTCCCAAACCGTTCAGGGTAATAACCTGCACCTTGAATTGGGACCGGAAAATGAACGGCAGCCAATGGAGCTCCTTAAACAGGAGGGTTGACCGCTCTCTGTACTTCGCCCCGGTTAGAAGTCTGTGCGCCAGCTGCGACCGTACCTTGTGAAGTCAGATCTGACCAGGGTGGTCCATGCCTTAGTCACCTCCAGATTGGATTACTGTAATGCACTCTACGTGGGGCTGCCCTTGAAACGTCCCGGAAATTTCAGTTGGTACAATGGGCGGCAGCCAGGTTACTAACTGGTGCGACTTACAGAGATTTTCTGTTGGTCATGTGGGTTCTGTGTGGGAAGTTTGGCCCAATTCTCTTGTTGGTGGGATTCAGAATGTTCTTTGATTTTAGGTGAACTATATATCCCAGTAATTACAACTCCTAAATGTTAAAGTGTATTCCCCCTAAACTCCACCAATATTCACATTTGGGCATATTGAGTATTCATGCCAGCTTTGGTCCAGATCCATCATTGTTTGAGTCCACAGTGCTCTCTGGATGTAGTTGAACTACAACTCCAAAACTCAAGGTCAATGCCCAACAGACCCTTCCTTCCTTCCTCCCATCTCCCTCCCTCCCTATATCCATCCCTCTCTCTTCCTCCTCCCTTTCTTCCCTTCCTCTCCTTCTTTCTTTCCTTTTGTGCTCCCTTTCTCCTACTTCTTCCAGTCCTCCCTCCCTTTTCCCACCCCTTCCCTCTATTTCTTCCTCTGTTCCCTCCATCCTCTCTCCACCCCTTCCTTCTCCCTCCCTCCTTTTCCCTTTCTCCCTCTTCCCTTCCACCCTTCCCCTCCTTCTCCCTTCCCTCTCCTTCCTTCCCTTTCTCCCTCCCCTCTTTTCCTTTGTTGTACTTCCTTCCCTTCCTCTTTCCCCTTTCCCTCTCCCATCCTCGCCTCTGTTCCTTCCTTATTCTGTTCCACCCCTCCTTCATCTCTTCTCCCTCCCTCCCTATTTCCCCCCTACTTTCCTCCATCTCTACCTCTCTTCCTCCTCCCTTCCCTCTTCCCTTCCTCTCCTCCCTTCTTTTCTTCCTCCCTCTTTCCTTCTTCTCTACCTCCCTCCCTTTTCCTTCCCCGCCCTCCCCTCTGTTCCTTCCTTCCTCTGTTCCCTCCATCCCTTCTCCCTCCCTACCTACTTTCCTTCCTGCCCTCTTTTTTCCTCCCCTCCTTTCTTTCCTTCTTCCCTCCTTTTTTCTTCCCTTCCTTCCTCCGTCCTGTTGGAATTCAACCCCATACTGCCTAAGTTTCAAGTCCTCAATGAAGAGCAGTTGCTTAGTTTAGTATAGGCCATGGGACTTCCCTTCCCTCATGTCTCCTGTATGACAGTTGGGAAAGTTTCTTTTTCATCTCTCCTCTTTTTCTGCTCTCATTCTGATTGGTTGTTTAAAATGGTTACTGTTCTGCTGCAAGCTTTTTTGAATCTGCCTTCTTACACTTTAGTATGGAACGTATGTGCTGTGTGCTTTGAGATCTCTCTTTGCATGTGTGTCAGGAGATTTTCCTTGTCTTGAAACCCTAGAAGAGATGAGTGTTAGAGTAGTTCAAACCCATTTGTTTACCATGAAGAAATGTAAGTTATTCATTTATTATTGTAAATAAAACTTTTGTGGCCAAAGTGCCAGACCATCAATTTCTCCCTGTGGAAATCTATCCTTAATTCTGGCCAATCAGCTCTCTGGTCTGTGAAGGTCCTTATCTGCTTTTGGGCTGTTGACCATCCCTTCCAATTTTAACCAGAAAATCCCAGAGTGGAAAGAGACTCAAAAAAGAGCCTTTCAGTCCAACCCCCTTCTTTCTGCCAGGCAGGAGGAGCACCATCAAAGCAGGTCCGACAGATAGCCATCCAGCCAATGTTTAAAAGCCTCCAAAGAAGGAGCTGCTTTGGTCCCATGTGCAAATGGGAGCAGCCTTTTCCCAAACAAGAGATAAGGAAATCCAGAAAGGAATGCACGAAAAGGGAGAGGTTGAGCCAGCTCTATGTTTTGTAATGCTATCTTCCCTTTATAGAATCATAGAGTTGGAAGAGACCCCGAGGGCCATCCAGTCCAGGCAGGAAAAACCCCATCAAAGCCTTCCCAACAGATAGGCCTACACGGTTCCGGCCCCACTTACCTCTCCGAACGCATCTCCTCCTACGAACCGGGAAGAGCGTTAAGATCTTCCGGGGAGGCCCTGCTCTCGGTTCCGCCGGCGTCACAAGTGCGGCTGGCGGGCACGAGAGACAGGGCCTTCTCGGTGGTGGCCCCTCGGCTATGGAATGCGTTACCGGTGGACATCAGGCAGGCCCCTTCGTTACTGGTGTTTCGGAGGAGGGTGAAGACGTGGCTCTACGAGCAGGCTTTCGGCAACTAACTCAATAATGACGGCATCGGACAAGGAATGGAAAAAGGATCTTGAGATCGGAATCTGATTCTAAGTGTGGCGTTGATGATTATGTGTTTGTCTGTATTGTGTGTCTCATACATTGTTTAGTGTTGCTTTTTATTGTAAACCGCATTGAGTCGCCGCCTCAGGCTGATATATGCGGTATACAAATAGAGTAAATAAATAATAAATAAATAAATAGGCCTACAGCCTCAGCTTAAAAGCGTCCAAAGCAGGAGCCTCCGAGACAGACTTCCACCTCCCTTCTCTTCCCTTCCCTTCTTTCAGTCCTCTCTCCCTCACAACTCTCCCTCCCCTTTTCTTTCTTTCCTTCCTTCCTCCCTCCCTCCCTCCCTCCCTTCCCTGACTCATTTCTTCCCTTCCTTCATCCCTCCCTCCCTCTTTCTTCCCTTCCCCCTTCCTCCCCTCCCTTCCTTCCTCCCTTCACTTCCCTCCATCCTTTCTTACTTGCCTTCCTTCATTCCTTCCCTCCCTCCCTTACTTTTTCTCTCTACCCCTCAGCCCCTTCCTTCTCCCTCACTGCCTTCCCTTCCTTCTTACTTCCTCCCTACCTCCTCATGTCTGTCTCCCTTCCCTTTTCCCTTCTCGAGATTCCACCTCAACATTAGGAAGAACTTCCTGACTGTAAGGAGAGCTGTTCAGCAGTGGAACTCTGCCTCGGAGTGTGTTGGAAGCTCCTTCCTTGGAAGCTTTTAAACAGAGGCTGTCGGGGGATTGCAAGGCTTTACACTTCACATGCTGGTTATTCCCTGGAACACATTATCCAGAATGAATCATTGCCTCTCTTCTGTTCCTTTAACCATATTTGGGGTTGACCCAATGAATTCAATGTGACCCTCTAACACAGAAATCAGTTCCCCTTCATTCCTTCCTTCCCTTATTCCTTTTTCTTCTGTACTTTTTTGCCTTCTTTCCTTCCCTCACTCTCTCATTCCTTTCCTTCTATCCACCCTTTCACCATTCTTTTATTATTTCCTTTCTTTTGTCCTTCCTACATACTTTCCTTCCACCCATCTGTCTTTCCCTCCGTCCTTGCTTTTCTTCCTTCCATCCCTGTCCCTGTTTGTTGAATCACCTTTGAACTACGACCAACTTTTGTTGTTGCCTCAGAGCGTCTGAATCTGTTCCATGTTTATGAATCTGTTTATGAATCTCTGATTTTTTGTTTGTTTCTGTGTACATCTTTGAGACACTTCATGCCTCTGTTTCTTGGTATTTCTGTTTTCAACATCCATGAAGGGAAAAAGAGGATAATGTTGGAGCTAAAGTATATTTTGGGCTTCATGTTCAACATTTTGCTTCTTTCTTGACCAGGAACATGGCATTTCTATGGAGCCACTCCTAGCATGATGAGAAACAAACCAGTTTCTAGTGGATATTGAGGAATTTGGAAATCAAAGTGCAGTAAGGAAACCAGCCCAATAGGAAAAGGAAATTGTCTCAAGGTGTCAATCGGGCTGAACTTTTAAACTCACTTTGATCAGAAAGAGAAAAATAAGAGTCAAGTGCCAGTATTGCAATTATGTGTACATAACGCTGTCGACATGGAGGAGAAAGCATATAAATATATTGAATGTGGAAAGAACTTTAGACAGCATATAAATCTGAAGACATATCAAACGACTTACACTGAGGAAGAACCCTATAACTATCTCGAGTGTGAAAAGAGCATTCGCATTGGAGTGAAACCCTATAAATGCCTGGAGTGTGGACAGAACTTCACTCAGAGTACAAATCTGTGTTCACATCAAAGGACACACACTGGGGAGAAACCTTATAAATGCCTAGAGTGTGGAGACAGCTTCACTCAGAGTGGAGTTTTACGTTCACATCAAAGAACTCATGCTAAGGAGAAACCCTATAAATGCCTGGAGTGTGGACAAAGCTTCACTGCGTATGGACGACTACATTCACATCAAAGGATTCATACTGGGGAAAAACCCTATAAATGCTTGGAGTGTGGACAGAGCTTCACTCAGAGTGCAAATCTACATTTACATCGAAGGACTCACACTGGGGAGAAACCCTATACATGCATGGAATGTGGACAAAGCTTTACTGTGAGTGGACGACTGCGTTCACATCAAAGGACTCACACTGGGGAGAAACCCTATACATGCTTGGTGTGTGGACAGAGCTTCACTCAGAGTGGAAATTTACGTTCACATCAAAGGATTCATACTGGGGAGAAACCCTATAGATGCCTGGAATGTGGACAGAGCTTCACTCAGAGTGCAAATCTACGTTCACATCAAAGGATTCACACTGGGGAAAAACCCTATAAATGCCTGGAGTGTGGACAGAGCTACACTCAGAGTGCAAATCTACTTTCTCATCAAAGGACTCACACTGGGGAGAAACCCTATACATGCGTAGAGTGTGGGAAAAATTTTACTCTGATGGGATATCTACGTTCACATCAAAGGTCTCACACTGGGGAGAAACCCTATACATGCCTGGAGTGTGGACAGAGCTTTACTCAGAAGGCACATCTACATTCACATCAAAGGACTCACACTGGGGAAAAACCTTATAAATGCCTGGAGTGTGGACAGAGTTTCACTCATAGTTCAGGTCTACGTTCACATCAAAAAACGCACACTGGGGAGAAACCCTATTCATGCCTGGAGTGTGGACAGAGCTTCATTCAGAGTTCAGATCTTCGTAAACATCAAAGGACTCATACTGGAGAGAAACCCTATACATGCCTGGAGTGTGGACAGAGCTTCACTCAGAGTGGAAGTTTGCATTCACATCAAAGAACTCACACTGGGGAAAAACCCTATAAATGCCTGGAGTGTGGACAGAGCTTCACTCGGAGTGGAAGTCTACGTTTACATCAGAGGACTCACACTGAGGAGAAACCTTATATATGCCTGGAAGGAAATTGTTAAGTTTACATTTACAGTAACACCAGAGTTTTTTCTTAATAATGCTGGATGATAATCCAAGCAAAAGTGTAAGATTACTAAAATACTGTGTAACAAAATTTGAAAAAAAAAATCTCTTCCTGGTTTCAAAGTATTATTTCCTGTTTAATTGTGCAGTACGCACTTTGAATGTAGTTGTTATAATCCAGAAACTTCATTTTTGTAGCTGCCACAAACTATGTTGAAATATTTGAAACATTAGTGAGATATTCATTAAAAATGTTCTGCAAGATGTCCAGCAAAAACAAAATAATTGCAGTCAAATAAACTTTTTCTATGTTTTTTATGATAAAACCAAGTAGGAAATTACATGTATAGCCCAGGAACAAAAATTGTATTAAATAGTGCAATTGCTGCAAAAATCCTTTATCCCTAGAGATGAAATGTAGTTATCCCAACTCAAGGAAATTGTCTAATGAAGATCTACAAACTAGCATAGATGGAGAAAATGATTGCTGAGTATGAAGAAATCTTTGATCAAAATCTTTCAAGAATTTTTAATCACTTTTTGGTGACCAGGGACCACTGTCCAACATTAGTACCAAAAGGGTTACAAATCAGTTTTTGGTCAACTTTAGATTTGGTTTGGTTATTTGGGGTGCCGATTCAGAAAACTGCAGTGGACAGACCACATCAGCTCTAGTTTCTCATACAGAACATATGCCATCCAGTTGTCGCCATCTGCTCGCCCACAGAAAACCATATTTAATCATCTAGAGCTGACGTCTATCCAATGCAATTTTCTCAATCAGCACCCTAAATAACCCCAGGAACAGGCCTAAAAACAAAAACACCAAGGTGCCCCCCTTTCTAGGTGCCACAGGTCATGCTTTCCCCAAAAGGTTACGACTCTTAACAGGTCGTGCTTTCCCCAAAAGTTTATGACTTTTAACAGGCCATGCTTTTCCCAAAAGGTTAAGGCTCTTAATAGGTCGTGCTTTCCCCAAAAGGTTACAACTCTTTAACAGGTTGTGCTTTTCCCAAAAGGTTACGACTCTTAACAGATCGTGCTTTTCCCCAAAGTTTGTGATTTTTAACAGGCCGTGCTTTTCCCAAATGGTTATGGCTCTTAACAGGTTGTGCTTTCCCCAAAGGGTTATAACTCTTAACAGGTTATGCTTTCCCCGAAAGATTATGACTTTTAACAGGTCGTGCTTTGCCCAAAAGGTTATTACTCTAACAGGTCATACTTTTCTCAAAAGTTTGGGACTTTCAACAAGCCATACTTTTCCCAAAAGGTTATGGTTCTTAACAGGTCGTGCTTTCCTCAAAAGTGAGAAGGATGTGAGAAGGGAGACAAGGATGAAAGAAGAGATGAAGGAGGGAAAGACGGGGCAGAAGGAAGAAGAGAAGGCATTGAAGAAAGATGGGAGGGAAGGGGAAAGGGGGAGAAGAAAAGGGAAAAAGAGGGACGAAAGAAGGAAAAAGAAAGGGAGAAGAAGGGAAAGAAACGAGGAAATTTCTCTCCAGGAGATGAAGCCAATGGCTCCCCTTCCTCCCACTGCCAGGCCAGCCATCCTCCTCTCTCTTTCCTTATTATTTATTTATTTAAAACTCAGACATCATTCCACAAAAGCTTTGCTGCACAGCCAGGTTTTCACTAGCTTCCTAAAGGTCAGGAGGGAGGGGGCAGATCTAATTTCATTTGGGAGGGAATTCTATAGCCGAGGGGCCACCACAGAAAAGGCTCTGTCTCTCGTCCCCACCAGATGCGCCTGCGAAGATGGGTAAACTGGGTAAACTGGGCTGGACGGGTAAACTGGGCCGGAACCGTATAGGGTTTTATAGCTTAAAACCAACACTTTGAATTGTGCTCGGAAGCTAATTGGCAGCCAGTGGAGCTGGCACAGCAAGGGGGTTGTACGCTCCCTGTACCCTGCCCCTGTTAGTAACCTGGCTGCTGAGTGTTGGACTAATTGCAGCTTCTGGGCAGTCTTCATATGCAACCCCATGTAGAGAGCATTGCAGTAGTCTATACGGGATGTAACCAGAGCGTGGACCACCGTGGCCAAGTCCAACTTCCCAAGGTACGGGCGCAGCTGGCGCACCAGCTTTAACTGTGCAAAAGCTCTCCTGGCCACCGCTGAGACCTGGGGTTTCAGGCTCAGTGATGAGTCCAGGATCACTCCCAGGCTGCGAACCTGTGCCTTCAGGGGGAGTGTATCCCCGCCAAGCACAGGCTGTAACCCTATGCCCTGTTCGGCCTTACGACTGACCAGGAGTACCTCTGTCTTGTCTGGATTAAGTTTCAATTTGTTTGCCCTCATCCAGTCCGTTACAGCGGCCAAGCACCAGTTCAGGACTTTAACAGCCTCCTTAGTAGTAGGTGGAAAGGAGTGAGAGTTGGACATCATCTGTGTAAAAGGGACACCATACCCCGAAACTTCGGATGATCTCCCCCAATGGCTTCATGTATATGTTGAACAACATAGGGGACAGTACTGAGCCCTGCAGGACCCCACAGTACAATGGCCGTGGGGTTGAGCAGGAGTCCCCTAACAACACCTCCTGGGAGCGACCCTCGAGGAAAGACTGGAGCCACTGTAAACCAGTATCTCCAAGACCCATTCCTGCGAGGCGTCTCAGAAGGATACCGTGGTCGACGGTATCGAAGGCCGATGAGAGGTCTAGCAGAACCAACAGGTAATGGCAGAGCTTTTTCTCAAAAGGTCATTTTGGCTCCTCGCACAAGAAACCTTTAACTGACAGTGATGAATTAATTATAAGTACCAGTGCAATCGGGCCAGCCAATACCTTGGGAAGAACCTTCCCAATACCTTGGGAAGTCTGACTTGGCCACGGTAGTCCATGCTCTAGTTACATCCCATATAGACTACTGCAACGCTCTCTACGTGGGGTTGCCTTTGAAGACAGTCCGGAAGCTTCAACTAGTCCAACGAACGGCAGCCAGGTTGTTAACAGGAGCGGCGCTCAGGGAGCATACAACCCCCTTGTTGCGCCAGTTCCACTGGCTGCCAGTTTGCTACCAGGCCCAATTCAAAGTGCTGGCTTTAGCCTATAAAGCCCTAAACGGTTCTGGCCCAACTTACCTGGCCGAACGTATCTCCCCTTACAAACCACTGAGGACTTTAAGATCATCTGGGGAGGCCCTGCTCTCGGTCCCACCTTCGTCACAAGCACATTTGGTGGGGACGAGAGACAGGGTCTTCTCAGTGGTGGCCCCTCGGCTATGGAATGCCCTCCCTAGGGAAATCAGATCTGCTTCCTCCCTCCTGACGTTTCGGAGGCAAGTTAAAACGTGGCTATTCGAGCAAGCGTTTACAAATACAGAGTAGCTAATGTAGGAAATTGAATGACCTGACAATGGAATTGGACAATGCTTGAGAATAATGAGACGCTGATGATGTTGCTTTTATTGCTTTTGTGATGTCTTATACTGTTTAATGTTTTTTATCTATTATATTTTATGTATACTGATTTGTTGGAAACCGCCTTGAGTCGCCAATTGGCTGAGAAAGGTGCTCTACAAGTACAGTAAATAAACAAACAAACAAATAATATTTGCTATAGTAATATAATAATATACAAAGCTAAAATAATTGGTATACCTATCTGTACACATATTAAAAGTGAAAATATGTATGTGTGTATGTGGCTGGGGTTTCCACTTTCACAGACAAGAGTCTCACTTCCACAAATAGCTATAGCTCCCACTACGCAAGACACACAATGTCCCTCCCTCCAGTGACATTGCAGGTTATAGCAAGCACTGTGAACATGTCCAGGAGTCCTGCCAATGGGTGGTTGTAGGTTTTTCCGGGCTATATGGCCATGTTCTGGAGACATTTTTCTCCTGACATTTCACCTGCATCTATGGGAAGCATCCTCAGAGGTAGTGAGGTCTTGAGGCCAATGTCCTCCACAAACACCATACTGCCCACCACCCAAATGAAAGCTTTCATATGAGGAAAATTTCATCCTAGATTTCTCCACCAGAGACATCCCAGCCACGTACAACCCAGGAACAGAACAGTACACAACAAAATCTGTCTGGGCAGATGGCCAGGCAGCCAGGCTCTAAAAAGTGTCAATAATGGCAGAGTTCTGTTCCTGGCTTGAAAGTGTGTGTTCCTGTTTGGTTGTGCGGTGCTGACTTTGGCAGAAGTGGTCCTACCCTGTAACTTTTGTTTGTGTGGCAGATGCATCATGAAACATCTGGAGGCATAGTTTCTCTGGCCAGGACAAAGAATTGAACTTTTGCAGTGATTCACTGCAGTGATGCTCCGCATATCCGCATCTTGGGTTTTTTTTTAAAAAAATGCTGAATATTCCTCAGAAGTCCCGCAGTGGCCATCTTGGCCATAAAATCTGGACAATGGAGGCAGAAATCCTGGGACCAACAGGTCTGTATGTGGGCCTCTTCTGAGGTTCTAGGTTCCCCCCCCTTGTTTAAAACCCATGGTTTAGTGCTGTTTGGAAGCGTCCTAAGATGTGACTTATTGTGAACAGAACTCTTCACAATAAGAACTCTTGTAATGCTTTTTAAATTTGGAAAAAAATTATGACAAAGGATGCTTTTCTTCAGTGGTCGATGCGGAAGTCCCCCACAGACACCCTCCTCCAGATGGGATCAAAAAGCCAGCAAAGGCAAGCTGACCACTCCGGTGCTGCCCAAAGGGTGCAGCGCTGCGGCCACCACCCAGGGGGTCAGCCCAGGATTCGCCCCCAGCTTGAATTTCAAGACCCCCACCTCCCATTAACCTGTCTTCAGCATCTCCGCCAACAGCAACCCCTTAGCAGGAGGCAGCGATGTCTTCATCACCCTTCCTGTCAGCAAAGTCGAGAACATCTGCATCAAAGCCAATGCCTTCATGGAGAAGGACTGTGTGAGGATTTGTAAAAAGACGCCATGATGTGGTGGGTTGACTGGAGAGGCATGTGTCAGCAGCTGATTGGCTGAGCGTGCCAGGAGTTCTGATTGGCTACTGTCTCTGGCTTGCTGCTGGGACAAACGGTTTTAACTGCCACTTTCATCCTGGAGGTTGAAGCGAGTGCTGACTGGAAACAGTCAGAAAGGAAATGGCCGCCAACTCTCTGAAGCCTGATTATTTCTAAGACATGATGCATATTTAAAGACTGTTTAAAGGACTGTTGATTCCCTCTGTTCTCTGAGTGAATTCAGAGAGACTGATGTATATATTATTGCCCTGTTTGATCTTTTGAACAGAAGTAAAGATACTATTACTTGTTACACTTTATTATACTGCAGGGTTTATTTTGATTTAGAAACTGTGGTAAAGCTTCTATTTATTTATATCTAATCCCCCCCCCCCCCCCAGACCAGAACCTGGCTGCTCTCGGAAGCATGAGGAAGCTCTCCACCCAGAACCTGCACTTGCGCTGCCAGCCAAAGAACAACTGCTATTTGGAACCCATTTGGACACCCATATCATGATCTCTACCTCATGCCATCCGACTATTAGCCTTCCTGACACACAACACATGGCTATGGATAAGCGAGATTCTACTTTACTTGTGTTATTTTAATTGTACTAAACATTCTTGTTTACTGTTGTCTATTATGTATTATTTTCTGTATTTGTGGATTGCTGTAAGCCACCTCGAGTCCCTTCGGGGAGAGTGGGCGAGGTATAAATAAAATTTATTATTTATTATTATTCATGTTCTATTGTTTGCTTGAATGTTGGTCATTGACCCAAATAAAAATTGTCCGTTAGTTGTCATAATAATAATAATATAGCCTCGCCTTCCTGGTCTTTAGGTGGCCTGTATGAAGTGGCTGCCTCACCCAGAAAGAGAAAGAAGTGGTCCACTGCCGGTCATCTAAGCTTGGGGAAGATGCGGATGAAGAGGATCATGCTGATGAAGATGAAACAGACCACGATGAGCATCAGCCACAGGAGCCAGTTGACGGACTTCTTGGCATGCTGCTCCAGGCGCTCCGACTCGTCCTTCAGCTTCTCAAAGTTCTGGTCAGCCAGGCGCAGCGACTGGGACAGAGTCTGGGACAAACGGGGCAAGTGTCAGGCAATTTGAGCAACGTCCCATTGGCCTTTGGACTACAACTCCCAACGTAGCCCTCTCTAGCTCAGGCCTAAAGGACTTGAACTTGGCCACCACTCCATAGGGGCAACGGATGGGAACATGGGAATAATAATAGAAATACTATACTATCCTATGTAACAGGCAGGGGCAAACTTTGGCTTTCCGGGTGTTTTGGACTTCAACTCTCACAATTCCTAACAGCCGGTAGGCTGTTAGGAATTGTGGGAGTTGAAGTCCAAAACACCCGGAGAGCCAAAGTTTGCCCCTGCCTGCTATATAACAACATAAAAACAATATAATAATAATAATAATAATAATAATAATGCATTGTTATTACAGGTGAAGAACAGAACAGAAGGGGACATAACTTCCTTTGAACTAAATGTCAGAATCCTACTGATGATCTTTGTGATGGTCAACTTGTGATAATAATAATAATACCATTATAATCATAACATAAATACTATACTAAATAATTGATGCAGCCTAGGATCACATAATTGGCCTTTTCCACTGCGGCATCACACATCTGTCTCATAGTCAGTTTATGCTAATAATAATATTAATATAATAATATAAATATTATACTAAATAATAATAGAAATAATTGATGCAGCTTAGGATCGAATTGGCCTTTTCTACTGCAGCACCAGACACCTAATGGCCAGCTTGTGATATAAGATTAATATAATGACAATGATGACCATGATATAAATACAATGCTAAATAATAACACAATCATAATCATAATAAAATAACAATAATAATAATACAAGCAGCTTAGGATCGCATCAGCTTTTTGAGCTGCAGCGTCACATTCCTCATGATGGTCAACTCCAAGGTCATGTGGCCGGCATGACTGCATGGAGCGCCGTTAGTACACAGTAGTAATAATACTAATATGATAATAATAATATACTGTAATAACAATAATATGTATGGTAATAATAATAGGAACAATAATACAGTATACCATAATACTATGATAGTAATGATAATAATATACTGCAATCACAATAATTTGTAGGGCAATAATAATAATAATAATATTACAATATGCAGTAATAATAGGATGATAATAATGATAGTAATAATAATACAGTATACCATAACTTTAATATGATAAAAATAATAAGATGGATTTTAATTGAATGTAATGTTAAAACTTTGAGGCCATGAAGCACTCATGTAACTCTTATTGTTTGGTTTAGCTAATGGTTTTATGTCACACTGTATATTTTTAACATGTTGTGAGCTGCCTTGGGTTTGCCAGGAGAAAGGTGGCATAAAAATTCCAGAAATAAATAAATACACCGTAATAACAATAATATGTATGGTAATAATAATAATACAGTATACAGTAATATGATAATAATAAAGCAAAATAACAATAATTTGTATGGTAATAATAATACCATAATAATGTGATAGTAATGATAGTAATAATAATACAGTATACTGTAATAATATGATGATGATGATGATAATAATAATAAAATACTGTAGTAATAATATGTATGGTAATAATAGTAATAGGAATAATAGTACAGTACATTGTAATAATATGGTGATTGTAATAATAATATACTGTAATAATAATATGTATGGTAATAATAGTAATAGTAATAATAGTACAGTATACCGTAATAATATGGTGATAGTAATAATAATATACCATAAAAACAATATGTATGGTGATAATAATAATAATACAGTAAACTGTAATACAATAATAATAATATGCCACAATTACAATAATTAGTGTGGTAATAATACAAGAGTACATTGTAATAATGTGATAATAATATACTGGAATAACAACAATACGTATGGTAATAATAGTAATAATAATAATAAATGTATTATCCACCTTTCCTTATTAAGACCTCACTGTTTGGATTCCTCTGCTTGGGACATGATTCACACGGCATAGTTATTGCACTGCAATCCCACATTAAGCCTCTAATGTCTCCTTTTGGAAAGAGCTAATGCCCGATCCCTGGATTCCGATGGTGGCAAACCCGCCTGACTGACCCACCTGGTTGTCCTGCTTGATGACGTTCTGGGCCACCAAGGTGTTGTTCTTGAGGTTGCGTGCCAAGTGCAGCATCTCCTCGGCCAGCTTCTCCTGCAAGCTGTGGTGGTGCTGGAGCACTGCGTCCAGCTCAGATGCCGACTGCTTCTCATCGGGGAGAAGAGTCCCCCTGCGGAGAAAGAGACAGAGACGGCCTCTGGAATGGCGGGTTTGCATCTCAGATCATCCCGCAAGTCAACATGGGCCTCCAGGTGCATTTCCCATCCTGGCCCCTTCACTCACTAGTCATTCACAAGGACAAGTCCAAGATGGTGGTATACAATTGGTACCTGGACGGGGTCCCGATCGGCTAAGTTAACTCCTTATATCTAGGAGTGGTGCAATTACCCAGATCCTGTTTCCCATCTGCCAGACTGCTGGTAAAGATCTCTAGTATCCAAAGTCCCAAATAGTCACTAGAGACAGGATATTTCCGTGTTAGCGAGTTTATTTCATCAAAGCACCCCCAAATGATGGCCACTCAGCCTTTGTAATAATAATAATAATAATAATAATAATAATAATAATAATTATTATTATTATTATTATTGGTGCAACATCAATATTATTATTATTGATGTTGCAATCCCAGGCAACAGCAGGATTGAGGAGAAACAACTGGAAAAGCTGACACGATACAAGGATTTAAAGATTGAACTGCAAAGACTCTGGCACAAGCCAGTAAAGGTGGTCCCAGTGGGGATCGGCACACTGGTTGCTGTGCCTAAAGACCTTGGCCTGCACTTAAATACAATTGACGCTGACAAAATTACCATCTGCCAACTGCAAAAGGCCACCTTACTGGGATCTGCATGCATTATTCGCTGATACATCACACAGTCCTAGGCACTTGGGAAGTGTCTGATGTGTGATCCAATACAACAGCCAGCAGAATGATCTTGTCTGCTGTGAACTCCTCTTGTTGTGTTTCAAATAATAATAATAAATCGCAGATACCCCTGAGGCCATCCAGTCTGACCCCCTTTTGCCTTCATGCAGGGAAAGCACAATCAAAGCATCCCCAACAGATGACCACTCAGCCTCTGTTTTCTAAAACATATTATTATTATTATTATTATTATTATTATTATTATTATTATTATTATAGAATCATCAAATCATAGAGTTGGAAGAAAACCCAGGGGCCACCCGGTCTGACCCCCTTTTGCCTTCATGCAGGGAAAGCACAATCAAAGCACCCAAATGATGGCCACCCAGTCTTTGTAATAATAATAATAATAATAATAATAATAATAATAATAATAATAATAATAAAGCAAACCTATACACATAATAAAAGTGAAAATATGTATGTGTGTGTGTGGCTGGGGAGTCCACTTACACAGACAAGCTCCTGCCTCCACAACAACAACAACAACAACAATTAAAAAGTAAAGGTTTTCCCCTGACCTTAAATCTAGTCATGTCTGACTCTGGGGGGGTGGTGCTCATCTCCATTTCTAAGCCAAAGAGTCAACATTGTCCGTAGACATCTCCAAGGTAATGACTGCATGGAGCGCCATGACCTTCCCGCCTGAGTGGTACCTACTGATCTATTAACATATGCATATTTTCGAACTGCTGGGTTGGCAGAAGCTGGGGCTAAGAGCAGGAGCTCACCCTGCACGCTGGATTCAAACCGCCAACCTTTCAGACAGCAAGTTCAGCAGCTCAGTGGTTTAACATGCTGCGCCACCAGGGGCTCCAATAATAATAATAATAATAATAATAATAATAATAATAATAATAATAGAAACTAGAAAAGCCATTCAGGAAAAATCACAATCAAAGCACCCTCTGAGCGGTCTAAGCATATGAACGAGCATGCCCACATCCCAGAAGTGCTTTAGATGTAAATTCTCGCAATGGTGGCAGAGAATCCCTTTTGTTGATTCTGCCATCCTTCTGAACCCAGGCCAAACATCCCCCATCCCTTCCCAATAGGCCTCCGGGTACTTACGTGCGTTTCCTCAGCTTCGCATCTTCCAAGCCTGGGAAGAGGGAAAAAAGCGGGGGGGAAATCAGTTTGCTTTTTATCCAGTGGACAAGCCAGAAAACAAAGAGGTCTGAGATGCAGAGAGAGAAGTCCCCGACTCAGAAAAAAAGGCAAGACAGCTGGTAATAAAAAGGAGAGGGAAATGAAAGCGAGCTGTCGGAAGCTGAGGCAAGAGATCCATTGTCTCCAGAGCCATTTCCCCAATATTAGGATGATGAGGAAGGGAAAAGCCAGCAAGACTCGTTTCATAGGCTCGGCTGGCAAATGGCATCGCAGCTACACAGAATGCCTTTCCTCCTGCAATCTCACCAGTGAGAAGCAACCGCTAAGTAAGGGCAGTACAATTAAACTGGAAATTTCACTTTAGAACAGTGTTTCTCAAATGCCCTCCTTGCGCTATGATTGGCTGGCCTCTCAGCCAAGGGGAGGGCTGTTTTTGAGGGGAGGGGAGAGCAGGCGTGAACAGCGCATGGCAGCATGGTGCACGAGGCTAGAAGGAGGCTCGCGCCAGAAAGTCCCTTCAAGACATGGGAATTCTGTGTGGGAAGTTTGGTTCAATTCCATCGTTGGTGAGTTCAGCATGCTCTTTAGAACAGAATCATAGAATCATAGAGTTGGAAGAGACCTCATGGGCCATCCAGTCCAACCCCCTGCCAAGAAGCAGGAAAATCACATTCAAAGCATCCCTGACAGATGGCCATCCAGCCTCTGTTTAAAAGCTTCCAAAGAAGGAGCCTCCACCACACTCCAGGGCAGAAAGTTCCACTGCTGAACGGCTCTCACAGTCAGGAAGTTCTTCCTAACGTTCAGATGGAATTTCCTCTCTTGTGGTTTGAAGCCATTGTTCCGTCTCCTAGTCTCCAGGGAAGCAGAAAACAAGCTTGCTCCCTCCTGCCTGTGGCTTCCTCTCACATATTTATACATGGCTATCATATCTCCTCTCAGCCTTCTCTTCTTCAGGCTAAACATGCCCAACTCTTTAAGCTGCTCCTCATAGGGCTTGTTCTCCAGACCCTTGATCATTTTAGTTGCCCTCCTCTGGACACTTTCCAGCTTGTCAATATCTCTCTTCAGTTGTGGTGCCCGTCATGCACAACAAACATAAAAGGTACTAACAGGTTGGTGGTTTAACACACACTGGTGGAGAACAAAGAAATCAACCACTTTTTAAACTCTCTACTTCAAAGGAGAGGAAGTGTGGCCCTGAGTCACATACGCCATTCAAATGGGATCAGGGGCCATAAAATCAGAGAGTGAGAAAAGCACGTGAGAGTCTTAATTCTCCAACAGAAAGTCCCTCCATGATGGAAAGAACACAGAGACAGGATGGATGCAGAGAGAGAGGGGGAGCCAGAGCTAGGACAAAGAAGCAATGGAGGGTTATAGAGCGAGTGATACTCAGAGGAGGCGGCAGGGGCAAGGGGACATACGGTACCAAACAGCTCGCTCCGCATCTCGCCAGTGTAGCGGGCCTTGGCCTGTAGGTGAACCGTCTTGGTGGCCGGGACACGCTCCTTAGCCGTAGTTGGGTTGCGCCCAGGGGCCAGGAACTGGTTGGCTAGCGCCTTCTCCGAGGAGGACGACTGGGAAAGAGAGAGAGAGAGAAGGTGGAAGGACAGGTGGTTTTGTTTTGCATTTGTACATATAGAATGTGCTTTGGGGGTGGCACTGAATTCTGTTGTATGATGCACAATTCTCTCTTTTTCTATCTACCTTCTTACTTAACCATTTCTTTCTGTGTTCCTCTATCATCTCCTTATTGATCCACCTCTCCCTCTATCCATCCATTCACCAATACATTTCTCTTCTGTATCTCACAGTCTTAGAAGGTTTTAATATCTATTTCAGTAGAAGGTTTTAATATTTATTTCAGCCCCAACGTTGGCTGCCTTTAGGAAGAGCCTGAAGACCTGGCTGTTCCAGTGTGCCTTTCCAGAATAGGAACTCCTGGTTTTAAGCCCAATTGCACTTTACTAGAGACTCAAGATTAAGTGCACATTGCACCTACCTCCATATACTTCTACATATTACCTGTCAAGTTCAGCATTTTAATTTTTGTCCATTACATTTGGCCAGGCTTTTGGTTTTAATTATGTCACGGTGTCATTGTTTTACTGTTTTATTGTTTTGCTTGATGTTTATTATTTGCTTTTGAGTTTATTGTGTATTGTATGTCGTTGATTGTTGTTGGCCTTGGCTTTGTAAGCCGCATTGAGTCCTACAGGAGATTTTGCAGGGCATAAATAAAGTTAATAATAATAATAATACTAGCTGTCCCCTGCCACACGTTGCTGTGGCCCAGTCTGTTTATATGTGTTTTGTGTGTATATATATATTTGTGTATATGTGTATATATGTGGGTTTGCATATGTATGTGTGGTTTTGTGCATGCGTTGTAATGTTGGGGGTTTTTTTGCTCTTTAAGTCTCTTCTGTTGTGTTTTTCTGTTTTTATGAGTGGTGGTCACTTGTTGGCCTGAGAGGTGTCTTGTGTCCAAATTTGGTCTCAATTCGTGCAGTAGTTTTTGAGTTATGCTAATCCCACAAAAGAACATTAAATTTTTATTTATATAGATTTACCATTGTCATCTTAGTATATTAATGTTTAATACCATTTTAACTATCATATTCAACACTGGGTTTTAACTTTGCTTTTGACAGTGTTTCTGAATACCTATGTCATGTTCTGGCCCAGCTTATTTGTCCAAACATATCTCCCCCTACGTCCCACCTCAAAACTTACGATCTTCTGGGGAGGCCCTGCTCTTGATTCCACCTTCATCGCAAACGCGCTTGGTGGGGACAAGGGACAAGGCCTCCTTGGTGGCCCCCCCGCCTGTGGAACTTGCTCCCCAGCAAAATTAGGCCAACGGCTTCCCTCCTTTCCTTCAGGAAAATATTGACGACGTGGCTATGGGACCAGGCATTCAGATAGCAGGCTGACAATAAAAATGACGACAATGCTATGGAAAATGGACTATGGACAGGCTTCAGATTAAGTTGTTGATTGTAGAACTCGAACTTGACATGCCAACTAATTCAATTTGAACTATTTTAAATGATTGTTAATCTAATTTTAATGTTTTACTTATTATGTAACTGTTGTATATGGGGGGCATCGAATTGTTGCCGGCTGTAAGCTGCCCTGAATCCCCCTTAAGGGTAGAGAAGGGCGGGGTACAAATATTTGAAATAAATAAAGGTTCCTATTCTGATGTTTCTTCATTTTTTGGTGCTCGTCATCAACCATATATACGTGTACACACAGACACACCTACACCTGTCTTTCAAAATCTCTTTACCCTCCTCCACCCATTCACCAACCAATACATTTCTCTTTTCTCTCTCTGTCTCTTCAACTGTGTCTTTCACTTTCTTTCTACCTATCTACCTACACATCCATCCATTCAATACATTTATCTTCTCTCTCTGTATCTATTAACCTTTGTATTTCTCTATCTCCCCATTACATTTCTCTATCTATCTATCTATCTATCTATCTATCTATCTATCTATCTATCTATCTATCTATCTATCTCTCCATTCATCCATTTATCCACCCATTCACCAATACATTTCTCTTCTCCATCTCTCGATTTACTAATCTGTGTCTTTCTCTATCATCTACATATTTATCCATCATCTGTATAATCTCTATCATCTATCTATCAGCTCCTCATGTGGGGACATGAGAGAAGCCTCCCACAAGGATGATAAAAACATCAAAATCATCTGGGCATCCCCTGGGCAACGTCCTTGCAGACGGCCAATTCTCTCACACCAGAAGTGACTTGCAGTTTCTCAAGTCGCTCCTGACACGACAAAAAATAAATATATATAACTGTATTCTCAATTCACTTTTGACACAATAAATAAATAAATAAATACCTATTTATCCACCAACCCATCTGATTATTATTATTACCCAGTTTTAATGAAGAATTTTAAACTTATACCATATGCTTAATCATTGTTTAGTGTATTTTAATATGTATTGTTTGTAATTATGTCTTAATATGTGTAAATATTTTTTTAGACTGATGTGTGTTTTAGCAATGTTGTCGAGCTGTGAGGAGAGGTGGGCAAGAAATAAAACATATTATTATTGTTGTTATTACTACTACTACCACTACTACTACTACCCCACCACCAATACATTTCTTTCTCTCTCTCTCTTCACCTGTCTTACGCTATCATATACCTCTTTATCTATCCACCAACCCATCTATCTGAACATTCATTCGTCAATATATTTTTCTCTGTATTTCTCTATCTCTTCACATCTGTCTTTCTCTAGCCATCCACAAATACATTTCTCTATCTCTCTATCCATCCACAAATACATTTCTCTATCTCTCTATCCATCCACAAATACATTTCTCTATCTCTCTATTCACCTGTGTCCCTATCTATCTATCTATCTACCTCCCTCCCCATCCATCCATCCATTCACCAATATATTTCTTTATCACTTCACCTGTGTCTTTCTCTACCATCTACCTATTTATCCACCAACCCATCTATCTGATCATTTATCCATCGAGTCATTAATACTGATGTAATGATGAGGTTTTATTGTACTGAGTTGTACTATTTTAATATGTAATGAGTTGTATTTGCTGTTTTATCTGATTGTATTTGATATGTACTGTAAACCGACCTGAGTCCCTCGTCGAGGTTGAGACGGCCGGTATAGAAATCCTCTAAATAAATAATAATAAATAATGCACTGGCATTACGGGGTTGTGTAACAGCAATGAGAATGTGGAAGGATGGGTATTTTGTTTTGTAATTCTACATATATAATGTGTATTGAGGATGGCATTGTTGTAGCCCAGAGCAGGAAACTCTCTGATCTTTAACACCACACCAGCTTGGTAAAATCAGTAAGCAGTTTATTGAAGAATATATGAAGGCAAAGCAGTAAAGTTTCAAAACAAAAGATAATCAATGATCTTCAAGGCAAAACAAGTGACAAAAATCCATGAAATAAGGCACAAGAATCCATGAAACAAGGCGGAATGAAACACCCGATAACACAAATCAGGAGCTTGGCAAAAACTTGGTACATGAAACTAAGAACACTTGAAAGCAAGACTGTCATGAAATTGCAATGTTGACCCAACTGAGGCAAATCAATATAAAGCTTTTCCAGATCTCAAAACTGAAAGGAAAGCATTTCTCTTGACCTTACACCCAGATAAGGGTTGCTTATCTCTCTTTTCCTGTAAATGAACAGATCTTCTTTGTGCCTGAGCACTCTTGTCTCCGTTTACAAAAGCCTTGCTTTCGATCTAAGCTCTCATTAACTTGACTCTCATTAACTTCTGGACCTGACAAATCATCTTCAGACAGTTCCTCTGAGAAAGACTGTGAAGGGCCTCTCCCAGGAATATGACCTTGTGAATCTTCCAGAGACAGCTCCGGCCTCTCATCTGAGCTTAACTCAGGCCCAGGCAAACCCTCATCCCCACTGCCAAAAGGCCCAGGCCCACCATCAGGAACATCATGAACATCAGACACAATCACAGGCTGAACAGGCTGGCTTACAACAGGCCCCTGTTGTACAATGACAATAAGGTTAGTCTATTATTCTATTGTATTCTATTAGACTCCCTTTGGTAATCAATGCTGGAGTTCGCTTGAAAGGAAGAGACCCCACACAGACCTATGGATGGGTGGGAGGGCCTTACCAGCTTTTCTGCCTCCAGCAGCCCTTTCAGGAAGTCCACCTTGCGGGAATATTCGTTCAGCACCTCTGGCGCGGGTTTGCTGCAAGGGGAACATCAACATTCACTGAAAAGGGAGCCAAGGGTATGCCTTCCATTCCCCAATCCTCATGAAAGGGAAAGAGTTGGGGGACCAAGAGACCACACAATTCAGCTAAAAAAGGCAGCCCAGAAAAGGGATGATAGCAGATGTAAAAGATCTATTGAGCCAGCTTCTCCCTCTCTCTGAGCCTGAGCAACCTGATAGGGTTATCAGTAGAAGGAAGGAAGAGAGCCATGGATGTTGCTTAGAGCTCACAGAAGAGGCAGAATTATTATTATTAGTAAGCTTAGGAGACAGAACAATATTATTTGGCTCTCCTTATGGCTCGAGGTGGGGTACAACGTGTAGCTAACAAATAGGAGGCTCTCTGCATGCCCCAATAATCATGGCAGTTGAGGGATTCTGGGTGTTGCAGTCCCAAAAAGAGCTGTCTTCCCCCTAAGATCTGACCATGTTTGAAAAGACTCACCTGGAGTGATTCTTCAACGCAAGGAGCATTTCCTCCAGGGCAGCAACGTACTGAGGAAAAAAGAAAAAAGGCCCTGAGCCAAGGTTTCCCTGACCCTACGGATGGGAATTGCCATGGGAAAAGCATGCTTCCCCTCCCAGCATTATTATGGGATTGTGGAAGGAAATGTTCCAGAACCTTAGAAGGATTATTACTATTATTATTATTTCTTCTTCTTACCAGCCTCTCCTCATGGTTCCCCTTATTTCCTATTATTATTGTTATTATTATTATTGTTATTATTTCTGATCTGCCTCTCTCCAGAATACCCATCATCTCCTATTATTTTTATTATTGATCTTCTAATATTAGTATTATTATTACCCGCCTCTCCCCATGATTCTCATCATCTCCAATTATTATTAATCTCATATTATTATTATTATTATTATTATTAACCTGCCTCTCATTATTATTAACCTGCCTCTCGTGGACAAGAAGTGAAACATGAGCCAGGGATGTGATGTGGCGGCTAAAAAAAGCCAACGGGATTTTGGCCTGCATAAATAGGAGTCTAGAGTGTAGATCCAGGGAAGTCATGCACCCCTCTATTCTGCCTTAGTCAGATCACTTTACCTGGAAACACACTGTGTCCAATTCTGGGCATAGAATCATAGAGTTGGAAGAGACCTCATGGGCCATCCAGTCCAACCCCATTCTGCCAAGAAGCAGGAAAATTGCATTCAAAGCATCCCTGACAGATGGCCATTCAGCCTCTGTTTAAAAGATTCCAAAGAGGGAGCCTCTACCGCATTCTGGGGCAGAGAGTTCCATTGCTGAACGGCTCTCACAGTCAGGAAGTTCTTCCTCGTGTTCAGATGGAATCTCCTCTCTTGTATTTGAAGCCATTGTTCTGCGTCCTGGTCTCCAGGGTAGCAGAAAATAAGTTCACTCCCTCCTCCCTATGACTTCCTTTCACATATTTATACATGGCCCCATCTTTTCCTCGAAGAGGCCCTATCGCCTTTGTTCTTCCTTTTTCTACTGACATAAGAAAAGAAGCCTGTTTTATTGTTTTTAATGTCCCTGGCAAGCTTGAGCTCATTTTGTGCTTTAGCCTTGGGAACCTTTTCCCTACAGGAGTTGGCTATTTGTTTGAATTCTTCTTTGGTGATTTCTCCCTTTTTCCACTTCTTGTGCATATCTCTTTGGAAATCCATTCTGGCTTCTTTGCACTTGTCCTGTTTTTTCTCTTTGTTGGCACTGTTTGCCCGGCCAGGAGGTGGTTGAGATGAGGCCCGGCCGGTAGGTGGTTGAGACGGCTTTGGACCGGGAAAGAATAGCCCGGGTGGCCCGCCATGGCCGAGGAAGGATGGAGATGTGGAGTATTTCACTCTTGAAAAACTCCCATCCATCCGTTACTCCCTTGTCTTTTAGTATCTGAGTCCATGGAATGCTGCTCAGTATTTCCTTCATTTTTTGGAAGTCAGCTCTCCTGAAGTTCAAAAGGTTTAATTTGTCTTGGTTTTGGCCTTCCTTTGTACTTCAAACTGCAGGAGCACATGGTCACTTGCCCCTAAGGATCCGACCACTTCAACTGCATCAATCAGATCCTCCGCATTTGTTAGGATGGGATCGAGAGTAGTCGATTGAAGGGAGAGGTTGACTCTAAGCTGGAATGCATCCAGAGGAAGGCGACTCAAAGGATCTAAGGTCTGGAGAACAATCCATATGAAGAGTGGCTGAAAGAGCTGGGAATGTTTAGCCTGCAGGTTAGAAGGCTGAGAGACATGATGAGGGCCAGGGATCAAGATGTGAAGGGAAGTAAGCTTGTTCTCTGCTGCCCTGGAGACTAGGATGCAATGGAATAATGACTTCAAACTATAGGAAAGAAGGAACATGAGGAAGAACTTCCTGACTGTGAGAGCTGTTCAGCAGTGGAACTCTCTGCCCCAGAGTGTGGTGGAGGCTCCTTCTCTGGAGGCTTTTAAACGGCGGCTGGATGGCCATACGTTGGGGGTGTTTTGAACGCGATTTTCCTGCTTCTCGGCAGAATGGGCTTGGACTGGATGGCCCACCAGGTCTTTTCCAATTCTATGATTCTATGACAATATCGTACTGGTCGCCCCAATCCCAGAGGGATCTCCATTTATTATTAATCTCATATTATTATTGGTATTGTTGGAGCCCCCAGTGGCGCAGTGGGTTAAACCCCTGTGCCGGCAGGACTGAAGGTCACAGGTTCGAATCCGGGGAGAGGCGGATGAGCTCCCTCTATCAGCTCCAGCTCCTCATGCGGGGACATGAGAGAAGCCTCCCACAAGGATGATAAAAACATCAAAAATCATCCAGGCGTCCCCTGGGCAACGTCCTTGCAGACGGCCAATTCTCTCACACCAGGAGTCACTCCTGACACGACAAAAAAATTGGTATTGTTATTATTATTTCTTATCAGCCTCCCCTTATAATTATTGCTTCTCCCCTTACTTAGGAGGGTATTGTGCGCATGCGCAACGTGTCCGATTCGGGGGTGCCATGTGCGCATGCGCCTCGTTCCCTCCCGCTCCCATAGCAACCGCCGGACCAAGTCAACCCGGCGGACCTTCTCCAGCCGCCATTCCTCCTCCGGGTGGCGCCGCTCCGCCGCCAGCGCTTCGCAACGGGTCAGCAGCCGCACCAGCTTCAACTCCGACCGAGGCACGGGAGACGCAGCGGCCATTTTTGGGGACAAGTGGCTTCCCGTTTGAGACTTCTGCTTCCGTTTTGGGACAAACCACTTCCGTTTTGAGATGCTACTTCCGGTTTCTCTGTGACTGAACGCGGTGAGAGCGTCGTCGTTGTCGTCCCTAAAGAGAAGGCGGAGCAACTGGTTAAGGAGTTGCGCGCGCAGCCTCCTGTCTCTTCCGGCGCGACCTCCATTGCACGGTGATAGAAGGTGAGTCCTGCGGAGGGCGGGAAGTGGAATCTTCTGCCATCCTCGCTCGGGAGGCGGCTTAGCCTCCGTCCCAGGGCCCGGGGAGATGCAGCAAAGGCCCCTCTCGAGGGAGAGACCGGCCTCGAAGCGCTTCAGCGCCGTGAAACGGGCCCGTGCGGACACTCGCTCTTAGGCCAAGGCGGGAGAAGGCAACCAATCCTAATCGCCTCGCCGCCCATTCTGAGGGAGACTACGACTCTCAGAACTCCCCCCCCCAAAAGAAAAGCAGGGATTGGGGGGCCTTTGGGAGATGGTCCTGTTTCTGCCCGGCCACGCTGTAGGACCCATAGGATTGTTGCTATCATTACTATTAGTGGGGAAGATAGTCTGCTATCATTACTATTAGTGGGGAAGATAGTCATTACTATTAGTGGGGAAGATTCTGTCCCTAGAATCCCAGAGTTGGAAGAGACCTGGTGTCTAGATCCAGGGAAGTCATGCTACTCCTCTATTCTGCCTTGGTTAGACCACACCTGGAATATTGTGTCCCATTCTGGGCACCACAATTGGAGAGAGATACAGACAAGCTGGAAATGTGTCCTGAGGAGGGCGACTAAAATGATCAAGGGTCTGGAGAACAAGCCCTATGAGGAGCGGCTTAAAGAGCTGGGCATGTTTAGCCTGAAGAAGAGAAGGCTGAGATATGATAGCCATGTATAAATATGTGAGAGGAAGCCACAGGGAGGAGGGAGCAAGCTTGTTTTCTGCTTCCTTGGAGACTAGGACGCGGAACAATGGCTTCAAACTACAAGAAAGGAGATTCCATCTGAACATGAGGAAGAACTTCCTGACTGTGAGAGCCGTTCAGCAGTGGAACTCTGCCCTGGAGTGTGGTGGAGGCTCCTTCTTTGGAAGCTTTTAAACAGAGGCTGGATGGCCATCTGTTGGGGGTGCTTTGAATGCAATTTTCCTGCTTTTTAGCAGGGGGTTGGACTGGATGGCCCATGAGGTCTCTTCCAACTCTGTGATTCTATGGTGGGCCATCCAGTCCAAACCCATTCTGCCAAGCAGCAGGAAAATCGCATTCGAAGTTCCCCTGCCACATTCTGGGGCAGAGAGTTCCACTGGTGAACAGCTCTCTTTAAATCTGGAAGTTCTTCCTCATGTTCAGGTGGAATATCCTTTCTTTCCTGTTGTTTGAAGCCATTGTTCCATTACGTCCTAATCTCCAGGGCAGCAAAAAAGGAAGCCTGCTTCCTCCCCCCCCAGGATTTTCCCTCACACCTTGATCCCTGGCCCTCATCATGTCTCCTCTCAGGCTTCTTTTCTGCAGGCTAAACATGTCCAGCTGTTATTTAGTTCTATTTTATTTTGATACAGCCAATGAGCTAATCAATATAACTTATTCCTATTCTTTGTTGTTGTTCATTCGTTTTGTCGTTTCCGACTCTTCGAGACTTCATGGACCGGTCCACGCCAGAGCTCCCTGTCGGTCGTCACCACCCCCAGCTCCTTCGAGGTCAATCCAGTCACTTCAAGGATACCATCCATCCATTTTGCCCTTGGTCGGCCCCTCTTCCTTTTTCCTTCCATTTTGCCCTTGGTCGGCCCCTCTTCCTTTTTCCTTCCATTTTCCCCAGCATCATACTCTTCTCTAAGCTTTCATTTCTTCTCATGATGTGGCCAAAGTATTTCATCTTGGCCTCTACTATTCTTCCCTCCAATGAGCAGTCAGGCTTTATTTCTTGAAGTATGGACTGATTGGATCTTCTCGCTATCTAAGGCACTCTCAGAACTTTCCTCCAAATTCCTATTCTATTTTATTATTATTATTGGTGTCCCTTGCAGTCTCTTTTATTTCTATTATTATTATTATTATTATTATCATCATCATTATTATTATTATGAAATATATTATGTATTATTATTGGGAAGAGGGTTTTGGCATTGATGGCCCTTGGGCTCTCTCTTCATTCTATTATTTTTGTTATCATTAAATCTATTATTATTATAAAGTGCAGGCCAATCACCACTGGGACCACCATTACTGGCTTGTGCGAGAATCTTTGCAGTTCTATGTTGTTGGGGAAGAGAGTCCAGGCATTGATGGCTCTTGAGGTGCCTTTTATTCTATTATTACTATTAAATTATTATTGGGGAAGGAGGTCCTGGCATTTATGACCCAGGCCTCTTTTAAATACATTATATTATTATTATTATTATTATTATTATTGCGATTTTCTTGCAACAGCTGAGGATATGATCCATGGTTTCATCAGCTTCCTTTCACAGTCTGTATTTTGGGTCATCCACTGATTTCTCGATCTTGGCCTTAATTGCATTTGTTCTGATGGCTTGCTCCTGGGCAAGAGCGTCCTTACATAAATTACCCTTGGAGTCTCTTTTAACTATTACTACTAATTATTATTATTATTATTATTATTATTGGGTACTGCCCGACTGCTCATGGGAGGGAAGGATATTAGAGGCAAAAATGAAGTACTATTGCCACATCATGAGAAAACAGGAAAGCGTAGAGAAGACAACGATGCTGGGAAAATGTAAAGAAGAAGAAAGAGGGGCCAACCAAGGGCAAGATGGATGGATGGTATTGAAGTGACTGGCTTGACTCAAGGAGCTGCTGGTGGTGACGGCCAACAGGGACCTCTGGCGTGGTCTGGACCATGAGGTTACGAAGAGTCGGAAGCGACTGAATGAATAAAGAACAAATTACTGGGGAAGAGTGTGCTGGCAGTGATGGCCCTTGGAGTCTCTTATTTATTTATGTATAACATAATGTATAACATTATCACTTATTTATTTATGTATAACATTTATATTCTGCCCTTCTCACCCCGAAGGGGACTCAGTGTGGCTTACAAGTGATACATACATACAATATATTATATTACTAGCATAGCACAATATTAGTATTATTTATTCCCAGATTTTACTACACCACTAAACTGCAATATTATTAGTAATATTACATGTAATGTAAACTATAAAATTATATTATTATATTGAATTATTTATAGTTTTTTATTGTATTACAATATTTTGATCAATATTGTATGTACATATGTTATAATTATTAGCATAGCACAATATTCTATATTACTGTATTGTACTATACCATTATAATGCAATATTATTAGTAATATTTAATATACAATTTTATTATTATTAGTATTATATTCTATTACATTATAATATTATTATCATGATATTTATGTCTTGCCTTTCTCTCTGTAGGGACTTCAGATCAATAGCTAGCAACCTCATAACAATGTAAATTGATTCAAAGAAAAAAAATGTAAAGAATGTCATTGGTAGTGGGTGGATACAAACTTCCAATGCAATTAAAAGAGGCTCTCCTTTCTCCCTCAGCCATGGCGATCCGCTACCCAATGGCCGTGGGCCTCAGCAAGGGCCACAAGGTGACCAAGAATGTTTCCAAGCCCCGCCACTGCCGTCGCCGTGGGGTGAGTAGGGGGTGAAGGAAATATATTTCTTTAGGAAAAGAGAAGGATAATCTACTAGCAAATTAGCCTGTTTAAGAGCTCAAAACATGTCTCTTTACAGTATTTCCTGTTTGATTGTCACTCTATTAATTAATTATTTATCGATGTATTTTATTTCCGATATTTCTATCCCGTTCCTTCTCAGCCCTCGAAGGGAGACTCGGGACGGCTTACATTTAGCAGCAATTCGATGCCACTACATATAACACAGCAATATAAGAACAATTAAAACAATAAGTAAAACATTCATTAAAACAGTAAAAAACAGTATTAATAGCCATATCATCATTCCAGTCAATTCCATATCCAATTTCATGTCCAAAGTGCTATGTATGTCTGTTGTCCAAAAGCCTGGTCACAGAACCACGACTTCAGTTTTTTCCTATATGACTGGAGGGATGGAGCCGATCTTATTTCTGTGGGAAGCGAGTTCTACAGGCGGGGGACCACTGGCCAATACATGACTAATTGAGTGGGGTCCAGTGGCGGTTTTTATCAACAGCGGTTTTATAATGCTATGGAATAATGATTCCATAGCACTTTGTCCTCCAAAGCACTTTACATTTTTTAGGTCTGCTTGTATGTTTTCCACAAATTCCCCATCACTTTTTCGCCCATGTTCCAGCATTATTTTCATTTTTAATTTTACATTTGGCCTTCCCACAGTTTTAATTGTGTGGTTTTATTGTTAATGTTGGTCTTATTGTTAATGTTGCATTATTTTATTGTCCATGTTTTATTTTAATTGCTTGTATTGTTATTATTGCTTGTATTGTTGTATTTGGGCTCGGCCTCATGTAAGCCGCACCGAGTCCCTTGGGGAGATTTTAGCGGGGTATAAATAAAGTGTTATTATTATTATTATAACCGCCTGTTTTAGGCTGGCTGGAATTCTGTCCTCCTGTAAGGAGGCATTAACCACCACCTTAACCCACTCTGCCAAACCCCCTCTGGCTTCTTTCAACAGCCATGATGGGCAGGGATCCACCGAGATATAAACCCCACTTGCCTAGTTTCCAACAGACCTCACAACCTCTGAGGATGCTTGCCATAGATGTGGGCAAAACATTAGGAGAGAACACTTCTGGAACATGGCCATACAGCCTGGAAAACTCGTAACAACCCATTATACAATTTAATACGTCCCTGTGTTACATTGGACATACTAAATATGTCCGTCTTAATCGGGACTTATTTTTGGGGTAGGGCTTCTATTACAAGCTTCATGCTAATGTTTATTTTCTGGTTAAGTGTCATTTCCAGGGAAACTTAAATACTTCAGCTGTGATAACAGGCATGGGGACACAGCGAATATTGTTATATTATTAGTATATTTTTATATGTAATGCAGTTTTTGTTCCTTAGTTATAAATGTTATTTCCCAGTTGGTTCTATCATAGAAACATGGACAAAGTTTATTAAACTGCAAAAAGTTTGTGTTTGTGGGAAGGACATCCTGCAGCACATGTTTGCAATAGTATTTCAATGAATAATCTCATCATAGAGTTTCAACCTAGTGCGTCGCAGCCATAAAAATGAAATTTCTGAAGTAGAATAACTAATTTCAAAGTATGGACCACACAATTGAACAGGAAATAACACTTTCAAACCAGGAACAGGAAAAAAAATCAAATTTTGTTACATAGTATAACCATTATTATTATTATTACCCTCTGCTCCTTTCAGTTTGAGGCAGAGCATAATATAGTTAAATACAGCTATAAAATCACATTTAAAAACATACTGTATTTCATTTCATAATAGTCGCACTACATTTTTGGGAGTGGCGAAATTTGTATGTTTGTGTTCCTCGCATAATAGTCACAAAGCCATTTAGGGCTGGTTCCTCCTTCCTTCTCTGAAGAATTAAACAGGAAATAACACTTTCAAACCAGGAACAACATTCGGAATGAGCAGGAAGGCCAGGGAAAGGCCATCTGGTTTGTATCAATTCTGCTTTTAAAGGGAGAGGACTAACCGGAACCCCCTTTTCTTTCTTTCCTGCCTAGCGCCTGACCAAGCACACCAAATTTGTCCGGGACATGATCCGGGAAGTGTGTGGCTTTGCTCCTTACGAGAGGCGGGCCATGGAACTGCTCAAAGTCTCCAAGGACAAGCGGGCCCTGAAATTCATCAAGAAAAGGGTGAGTCTCCTTCTCAGGAGGTTTCCGAAGGAAGAGGATGGGCGAACATCTGCCGGGAGGGCTCGGATTGTGTTCTTCCTGCGTTGGCAGGATGGGATGGACCACATGTAGGATTCGGTGTGGGTCTCATGGTTTCCATCACCTCCAACTATGAATCCGGTAGATAACAGTAGAAATATAGGCCGAAAGACAATCTGAGACCAGAGAGGTTCCTAAAGCTGTTAACGCAGAAAAAGGATCTAAGGCGCAGTGCCCGCTGTGGGCATTTATAGTATTGGGGAGAGTGGGCGGGGCCTCTGCCAAAATGTTTCTTTTACAAGATTCTAGAAGGTTCCGAACAGCTGCGCATGCGCAGAACTAAAACCCATTATGTGCGTCTTTCACAGACTACACGAAGAGGAATGTGTTCTTCCTGCATTGGCAGGATGGGATGGACCACATGTAGGATTCGGTGTGGGTCTCATGGTTTCCATCACCTCCAACTATTATTTGTAACCAGTCTCTCCTCATAGTCCCCATCATCTCCAATTTATTGTCTTACCTATATTTCCTCATGGTTCCCATAATCACCAATTATTATTAATCCAATATTATTACTTACCCACCTTTCCTCATAGTTCCCATCATGTTATTATTAATCCTTTATTATTATTTATCTGCCTCTTTTCATGGTTCCCATCATCTCCAATTATTGTCCATATTATGTTTATTGTAATTTTGTGTTTATTGTAATTTTATATTGCTATGTTGTCTTTTGTTTTATGTAATTGCGTTATTGTTGTTTATTACTTGCGTTTTCGGTTTTATTTCATGTAATTGTTGTTTTGGGCTTGGCCTCATGTAAGCCGCACCAAGTCCCCATTGGGGAGATGGAGCGGGGTAAATAAAGTTTATTATTATTATCATCATTATCATTATTATTATTATTATTATTATTATTATTATTATTATTATGTCTTACCAGCCCATCCTCATAGTTCCCATCATCTCCACTTATTATTATTAATCCCATATTATTTGTCATTCACCCTTCCTCATAGTTCCAATCATCTCAAATTATTATTACTTGAAATTCTTTATTGTTATTTCTTCTTACCAGCTTCTCGTGGTTCCCATAAATCTCAAATTATGATGATAATGATTATTATTATAACTGCTCCGAGCCCCCTTCAGGGGAGAAAAATATAAATATATTATTAGTATTATTTCTTACCTGCCTCTTCTCATGGTTCCATCATCTCCAATTGTTGTTGTTGTTATTTCTTACCTGCTTCTCCTCATGGTTCCCATCATCTCCAATTATTATTTCTTATTTCTATTATTCTATTATATTAAGATTTCTTACTACTTATAATAATAGGGTAGAATGCAAGGTCTTTGTCTCCCATCCTTTGGAGGAAAGACAGGATCGAAAGGCAACAAACCAATACAAGGGGAGGGAGGCCCCCATTCCCCGGTGTTCCTTCCAAGAATCCTTGCTCTCCTCTGTCGCCCTTCTTCGTTCATTCATTCTCACCCCTTCTGCTTTCCCTTCTTGCAGGTGGGGACCCACATTCGGGCCAAGAGGAAGCGTGAAGAGCTCAGCAACGTCCTGGCTGCCATGAGGAAAGCTGCAGCCAAGAAGGACTAAACAAACCCTCTGGCTCCCTCCACCTCAATAAAAGTTATTTCCTGAAAGAAAACTGTGAGCAGTTGTCTGTTAAAAAAACAAGGGATCCTCCTGGAGTAGCTTCCTCCGTGGAAGCTCCATCCATACATGTTTGAAGTTGTAGATTCCCTATTTTCAGTTGCAAGCACCCCGCTGCACAATGAAGCCATCCCATTTGCACCATTTAGAGCAGGGGTCCACAGACTTTTTAAACAGAGGGCCAGGTCACAGTCTCTCAAACTGTTGGAGGGCCGGATTATAATTTGAAAAAAAAAATGAATTCCTATGCACACTGCACGTAACTTTAAAACAATACAATAATTAAAATGAAGAATAATTGTAATAAATATAAGCTTATTAGTATTTCAATTGGAAGTGTGCTTTTGGCTGATGAGATAGGACTGGTGTTGTTGTGTGCTGATGAGATAGGACTGGTGTTGTTGTGTGCTTTCAAGTCATTTCAGACTTAGGTTGACCCTGAGTGAGGGCTGGGTAAATGACCTTGGAGGGCCGAATCCAGCCCCCGGGCCTTAGTTTGAGGACCCCTGATTTAGAGCAAGGGAGGCTTGTCGTTTGGGGGGGAATTAGTCTCTTCCTCCATAGAGACATATTGGTGAAGTTGTCAGCTAAGTTATGGGTTGCTGGTTGCAAGACTTATACAATAAAACTGTAAATCTTTTAAGACTAAAAGCTCAAAACTATATAAAACAATACAATGCTGCAGTAAAAAAGGACACGTACTCGGCAGCAATCAGTGGTGGTGGTGGTTGTTATTATTATCATTATTATTGAGGAAGAGTGTCCTGGCATTGATGGCCCTTTGTGTCCCTTTTAACTATTATTACAGTGTTCCTTGCCACTCCACAGTTTGCTTTTAACAGACTCGCTGTTTTGTGGGTTTTTGAAAATATTAATATAAAATATTTACATCCAGAGGAGGCCAGGGACCCCGGAAGTACGTCGGCCTGAGGTGCAGCGGGGAAGGCCTGCTGCTGCCTGCGTGGCTCCAGAGGCTCTGCCGGGGTCTGCGGAGGCCAGGGAGGCAGGCAGGCGCTCTTGGGATGGGCCGGGAGGCGGGTAAGGAAGCGTGGGTAAGAAAATAATATATAAAATCTATATAAATAAAAATGTAATGTTCGTTTGTGGGATTAACAGAACTCAAAAACCACTGGGCGAATTGACACCAAATTTGGACACAAGACAACCAACCAAAGCAATCTATGTCCTTCACGCAAAAAAAAAAAAAAAATTAACCGGAAAGAACTTAAACCCCCCACAAAGCTAAATTACTATACAACATGGAGATGCCTCCGCTGGGCTGCTGGGAACTCACATGGGAGGGATGTGTGTGTGCATGTGCACACCTATATGCACACACACATATCTACATACTTCAACTCCCAAAAAGCTCACCCATACTAATGGGAAGGAATTCTGGGAAATGAAGCCCAGTATTCAAAGAAAGGACAGAAACAGGAAATGCACGCTCTGTGAGTTAGGAAAGGCTGTCCAGAAAGGCGCAATCAAAACACTCAAAAGATGGCCATCCATTTCTACTCTATAGCAACCCTGGGCTCTAATATATCTACAATAATAATATCTATAGATCTATCAATAATATCTATAAGTCTATAACAACAATATCTACATGTCTTAGGCAGAAAAAACGAAATGCAAAGATACAGAATGGGGGATGCCTGGCTCGAGAGCAGTACGTGTGAAAAAGATCTTGGAGTCCTCGTGGACAACAAGTTAAACATGAGCCAACAATGTGATGTGGCGGCAAAAAAAGCCAATGGGATTTTGGCCTGCATCAATAGGAGCATAGTGTCTAGATCTAGGGAAGTAATGCTACACCTCTATTCCGCTTTGGTTAGACCACACCTGGAATATTGTGTCCAATTCTGGGCACCACAATTGAAGAGAGATATTGACAGGCTGGAATGTGTCCAGAGGAGGGCGACTAAAATGATCAAGGGTCTGGAGAACAAGCCCTATGAGGAGCGGCTTAAGGAGCTGGGCATGTTTAGCCTGAAGAAGAGAAGGCTGAGAGGAGATATGATAGCCATGTATAAATATGTGAGAGGAAGCCACAGGGAGGAGGGAGCAAGCTTGTTTTCTGCTTCCCTGGAGACTAGGACGCGGAACAATGGCTTCCAACTACAAGAGAGGAGATTCCATCTGAACATGAGGAAGAACTTCCTGACTGTGAGAGCTGTTCAGCAGTGGAACTCTCTGCCCCGTGTGGTGGAGGCTCCTTTGGAAGCTTTTAAACAGAGGCTGGATGGCCATCTGTCAGGGGTGATTTTTGCTTCAATATTCCTGCTTCTTGGCAGGGGGTTGGACTGGATGGTCCATGAGGTCTCTTCCAACTCTGATTCTATATCTATATGTCTATAACAACAATATCTACATGTCTATAATAATATCGGTATGTCTAATAATTATGTCTATATGCCTATAATAATATCTATAGTTAGGTAAAGGTTTCCCCCTGACATTAAGTCCAGTCGTGTCTGACTCGGGTGTGGTGCTCATCTCCATTTCTAAGCCAAAGAGCCAGCGTTGTCCGTAGACACCTCCAAGGTCATGTGGCCGGCATGACTGCATGGAGCGCTGTTACCTTCCCACTGGAAGGTAACCTATTGATCTACTCACATTTGTATGTCTTTGAACTGCTAGGTTGGCAGAAGCTGGGGCTAACAGTGGAAGCTCACGCCGCTCCTCAGATTCAAACCTGCAACCTTTGGGTCAACAAGCTCAACAGCTCAGCGGTTTAACCCACTGCACCACTGGGGGCTCAATAATATCTATATGTCTATAATAATATCCATATGCCTATAATAATATGTCTGCCAATAATATTTATACATCTATAATAATAATACCTGTATGTATAAAATATATGTCTATATATGTGTGTGTGTGTGTATATATATATAAGTATGTATGTATACATTGTAATAACAGCTATATAATATCTATAATAATGATAGGTCTGTAATAATATCCATACATCTGTTGCCCGTTTTTGCTTGAAAGATATTTAGCCCTGTGCTTCTTCTATTTTTTATCAGTTTTATATTAATTTATGCAATAATTTTGATACAAAATAATTAACATCTATAATAATACCTACATGCCTTTAATAATAATATTTGTGTCTATAATAATATCTATATGCCTATAAAAATAATAACAATAATTATAATATACCTATCTAATATCTTTGAACTGGGTTATATGGCAGTGTGGTGTCAGGTAACCCAGGACCCTTCCACACATCCATATAACCCTTTGGCCTCGAGGAGACTGAAATGGGCCTCTATTAGGTTTAGACTTTGCCACTTCAGTTGTGTATTGATAGCTTAGAAACCAGCTCTTCCTCTTTTCTTTAACATTTCTCCACAATGGGCACAGCAACGCGTGGCTGGGTACAGCTAGTAATGTATAAATATTAAAATTAATATGGCGTCCCTACTTCGCAGATTTTCACTTATCGTGGGTGGTCCTGGAACGGAACCCTTGTGATAAGTGAAGGAACACATTATTATTATTATTATTATTATTATTATTATTATTGAGGCTAGACGGCCATCTTTTGGGGCTGCTTTGATGGTGCTCTTCCTGCACAAAGGCAGAAGGGGTTGGACTGGATGGCCGTTGTGTTCTCTTCCAAATCTATTGTTATTAATATTATTGAGGCTGGATAGCCATCTGTCGGGGGGTGCTTTTATTGTGCTTTTCTTGCATAATGGCAGAAGGGGGTTGGATTAGATGGCTTTTGAGGGTCCCAACTCAATAATATTATTGAGACTGGATGGCCATCTGTTGGGAGGGCTCCGATTGTGCTTTTCCTGCATAGTGGCAGAAGGGTATTGGATTAGATAGCTTTTGAGAGTCCCAACTCAATATTATTGGATGGCCATCTGTCGGGAGGGCTTTGATTGTGCTTTTCCTGCATAATCGCAGAAGGGGGTTGGACTAGATGGCCTTTGAGGGTCCCAACTCTATTAATATTATTGAGGCTAGATGGTAATCTCTCAGGGGTGCTTTGATTGTGCTTTTCCTACATAATGGCAGAAGGGGGTTGGACTAGATGGCCCATGGGGTCTCTTCTGACTCTATTATTAATATTATTAAGGCTGCATGGCTATCTCTCAGGGGTGCTTTGTGCTTTTCCTGCATATAAGAAGGGGGCTGCACCAGGCTGGCCCATGTGGTCTCTTCCAACTCTATTATTATTATATTGAGGCTGAATGGCCCATCTGTTGAGACTGCTTTGATTGTACTTTTGCTGCATGGCAGAAAGAAGGGGGTTGGACTAGATTGCCTTTGAGGGACTCTGACTTTAAGGCCAACCTTCAGAACCAACCTTGTCATCCAAAATACCATAAATCAGGAAACAACTCGAAGGAGGCACATAGCAAATAGATTTCTCCTTTATCCGCACTTTCGCTGACCCGATCGCGCCGGAACAAAATACTTTTAATTGGTTCATCATCATTTTGGGTGCAAAATGCATCAAAGGCAGCAGGAAACCGAGCCCAAAGCTAGGGTCCTGAGTTCCGTAGCAACAGAGCAGTCCTTCTCCGTTGGAAGTGTGGCCTTTTTCTGACTCAGGACACGCTTGCAATGCGGGAGTCCGTCTTTGGGAAAACAATGTCAAAGATCTGGTCGTAGTGCTCCACAAAGTGCACTTCCAGTCCTTCTGTGATGAAGGCAGCCAGGTCGGAGAAGTCCTTCTTGTTTTCGGAGGGGAGGATGATGCAGGAAACACCGGCACGCTTGGCCTGGGAGGGAGGAACGAATGAAGAAAGAGGATAAATAGATAAACGGGCAGGGATGATAAATGCTAAGATATCTAAAAAAATAAAAATGTAATGTTTGTTTGTGGGATTAACAGAACTCAAAAATGACACCAAATTTGGCAGCAAAACACATTCTAATCCAATCTATGTCTTTCAAACAAAAAAACCCCCGTAAAAAATGAAGGGGAAATAACTTAAAACTCCCCAAAAAGAAAAATGCCTT